AAAGGTATCAATAAATATATGTGCGATCAATGCCCGTAAATCTAGTGTTGATTCATTTAATTATTAAATGATATAGTATGTATGTATGTATAATCATATTCATGAGACAGTAATTTCATTCTGTCTCACGCCCTCTTGTGGGCATTTGTGTAACCTGTCGGTAACGTCGCGAGTGACACGAAAATGGTAATGGGATTTCGAGATCCCATAAAAATGGATCGAAAAAATACAATAATGAGTGGAAGATCTACTCGTATACCTCGTCTCTGATAATATTCTAGAATCTCTGATGAATCAATGAGAATCAAAACTAACCTAGCAAAGAAACTATATTTACGATGACCTATGCAAGATCGCAGCCAATTAGCTAATATCATTTAGTTTTTAATTAATGATTGCATCACCCAGGTAAGAGTGATACGATTATTAATTAAACGCTAAATAATATTACCCAGGTCTCACCCACGTGGAGGTTGCTGCGAATGGAGACCCAAAGGGAGATGGGAATCCAAGTTCCATCGATCTCCCTTTCGCAATTTTACAATCTCGAATGACTAAAGAAGATAGAAGGAACCAAAGAAAAATGAATATCCTACGGAAAATGGTATTAAAAACAATTATTTACACAACACATGCTATCGAGCATTGTTTTAACACTTTACCGACCGGTAGCGGTTGATTAATCGGCTATCGGTCGGTAAAGAAGTTGATTAATACGCTATCGGTCGGTAACTGTTGGCCGGTAAAACAGTCGATTAATAGGCTATCGGTCGGTAATGTGGTAACTATTGCTTGATGTTAATTATTATTGCAAACAATAGGAATGAAAGTATGGACAAATTCGAGGTGGCTGAAGGTTTCTTTGAATTTCTATGGAGAACCGAGGTCAACATTAATATCATTTAATTATTAAATGATATAGTATGTATGTATGTATAATCATGGTCTGGGTTAAGTCTGGGTTAGGTCTGGATTATGTCTGGGTTAGGTCTGGATTATGTCTGGATTAGGTCTGGGTTATGTCTGGGTTAGGTCTAGGTTAGGTCTGGATTATGTCTGGGTTAGGTCTGGGTTAGGTCTGGATTATGTCTGGGTTAGGTCTGGGTTAGGTCTGGATTATGTCTGGGTTAGGTCTGGGTTAGGTCTGGATTATGTCTGGGTTAGGTCTGGGTTAGGTCTGAATTAAGTCTGGGTTAGGTCTGGGTTAGGTCTGGGTTAGGTCTGGATTAGGTCTGGGTTAGGTCTGGAATAAGTCTGAATTAAGTCTGGGTTAGGTCTGGGTTAGGTCTGGGTTAGGTCTGAATTAAGTCTGGGTTAGGTCTGGAATAAGTCAGAATTAAGACTGGGTTAGGTCTGGGTAAGGTCTGAATTAAGTCTGGGTGAGGTCTGGGTTAGGTCTGGATTAAGTCTGGGTTAGGTCTGGGTTAGGTCTGGATTAGGTCTGGGTTAGGTCTGGGTTAGGTCTGGATTATGTCTGGGTTAGGTCTGGGTTAGGTCTGGATTAGGTCTGGGTTAGGTCTGGGTTAGGTCTGGGTTAAATCTATTTAAGGGTAAATTAAGACCTAACCCAGACCTAATCCAGACCTAACCCAGACCTAACCCAAACCTAACCCAGATATGATCCAGACCTAACCCAGATATGATCCAGACCTAACCCAGACCTAACCCAGACCTAATCCAGACCTAACCCAGACCTAACCCAGACCTAATCTAGACCTAATCCAGACCTAACCCAGACCTAACCCAGACCTAACCCAGACCTAACCCAGACTTAATTCAGACTTATTCCAGACCTAACCCAGACCTAACTCAGACCTAATCCAGACCTAACCCGGACCTAACCCAGACTTAATTCAGACCTAACCCAGACCTAACCCAGACTTAATTCAGACTTAACCCAGACCTAACCCAGACCTAACCCAGACCTAACCCAGACCTAACCCAGACCTAACCCAGACCTAATCCAGACCTGTACGTGGGGAAATCCTCATGGACACCCGCGGGCCCACCCGATCGGCGGGCCGGCGGGTAGTGCCGGACTCTTACCGGCTAAAACCCCACGGTGACCATCCTCAGGCGCTTGGCGAGGGACCGGGAACTCTAGTGAGACATCACAGAGTCCCCCGCCGCGCCGTGCCTTTTCAGGCCCTACCCGGTGAGAGGCACTCCTCCCACCGCATTTCCACTCAACCGCAGGCGCCTGGTCACCAGCGCCCGCGGCTCCGTGACATGGGACTTAGCCGCCGGCCGCGGGGCCATGTTGGCCGCAGGACACACCCGCAGCCAACTGGCCAACCTGCGGCCTTAGGTTTAACCCGCGGCAAATACCCCATGCCCCAGTCCACTTACACACACATTCACACGAGCAACACACTCATACCGGTGTTTGGTCCGCGGGAGCTTTCGCTCCGACCTCCGGGATGCTATGCGAGGATGCAGACACCAGCCTTCTTCGGTTGATGACCTCATCCCCGCATCCCATCCCAGCGGCTGCCCCTATCCGCCACCTGGGGACGCGCCACGTAGGGGTTCACCTCCCCTGCCGCCTGGACAACCAAACGGGTGCGTGGAGACCTAACCCAGACCTAACCCAGTCCTAACCCAGTCCTAACCCAGACCTAACCCAGACCTAACCCAGACCTAACCCAGACTACCCAGACCTAACCCAGACCTAACCCAGATCTAACCCAGACCTAACCCAGACCTAACCCCCGTTATCAGCGATGAATTGGTCTGGGTTAGGTCTGGGTTAACACTTTACCGACCGGTACCGATTGACCCTAGATTATATATCTACTTTTTCTTGTACTTATAAGAATGTTAAATGAAACTTTGCGACAGTGGTTACTATATTGTTCTCTTTCTGTAATTACAGGGTAATTCAATCTAGTGATATTTTTTATTTTCGTGGGAACCGATTAATAAGCTACCCGGTCGGTAAAAAACTGATTTACCGGCTATCGGTCGGTAAAAAGTCGATTAATAGGCTACCGGTCGGTAAAGTGTTAATGAGACAGTAATTTCATTCTCTGTCTCGCGCCCTCTTGTGGTCATTTCTGTAACCTGTTGCTAACGTCGCGAGTGACACGAAAATGATAATATGGTTTCGAGATCCCCTAAAAATGGACCGAAAAAATACAATGATTGAAAGATCTCGTATACCTCGTCTGTGATTTAACAACTTGTAATTCCACAGAATGTACAAACCAAACTTACAATAAATTATGAAAAAAACCCTGCAGTATTTAATATTCAATTATATTTTTTTATTCATTTAAACGAACGAAGGTTGGGAAAAGTAACTTTTGAATATTGGAAATTGGTTGTTATTTGTTAACCTTCAATATCTTTAATTTAAGAAAAGAGATAACGCTATTAACAATATCTCTATTTTCATTTATAAAATGCATTAATTTACGAAGAATATTTTAGAGACTACTACCGACTAACCTCAAAATGTATTTTGGCCGAATTACTGACAGAGACCTCAATTTTTAAGTAGGATATTCTAAATTGATTATAGCAATATCTCGAAATGATATACAATGAAATTCTTATGAAATAGTCTTAAGTTTAAAACAGCTAACTTCAGAATTTGTATCGATCTTTACGTACAACCCCGATCGACTAATTTTCCAACAGAAACTTTCGCGATGCACGTATTTTAAGGCGGGAAACCGAAGATGTTTATGGAAATAGAAGACGAGACTCGCGATTTTGTAACGATTTACGGTAAAGATTTCTTGGGAAGGGCAAGTGAAAAGCGAAATGAATACAGGCCACGATCCGCGTATCATCCACCCCTGAATATCTTAAACGGCCCTTACAGGAAATGTTTGAATACCCGTCGAAAGAATTTGTCGCTGCCCTTGAACAAACAGAGCGAGGATCCCCAAGAATTTTTAAATAAGGTTAGAAAATAAGGTTAGAAATGACAGTTTACGATATACATAGCATGTACGTGCATCGCACAGTAAAAATTATCTGCTACGATATAAATCTGTTTCATAACCTATTAACGTATGTGAAAATTTGTCCAACTTACTCGTCGATTCGAAACATCTTCAACATAAGTTAACCACGAACTTAAAACACAATATTCTGTTACAATATCGACACATTGCGCCATTTTTCCACGAACAATTGATACATTTAAAACGTATTTAACGTTTAGATCCGCGACGAGTTCCCGCGTTTAACAAAATGGCTGCCGGAAGTCGTGCCGGACGAAAACTTGATCGAAGACGAGGAAAACGAGACCACGCAAACTGTCTATCATTCCGATTATTCCAAAGGTTTTCTAATCTCTTTTAATAAATAATTCCTAACCTAATTCCAACAATATTTTATCAATAAATCAGAATCCTAAAAATTGGGGAAAAAAAATGTCCAGTTTCCGGGTTTCCGGTTATCAAATTACTTGAAATTACTTCTTTAAGCTATTTCTTAACTATTTAATTACTTTTACTTAATACTGACGAGCAATTGCGATTTATTCTGTTCAAATATTCCAAATATGATTTATAAAAATTAGGCGATTATTCGCCTCGTACAAAGATACATGGAAGTGAAGACATCCGTTTGCCGGAAGACTGGATCATATCGGAAACGATCCAACGGAAATCGTACAGAAATCCGTGGAAAATTGCAACCGAAAATCTGTTACGTGTCCCGAAAGGCGGGAAACCAGCGGACAATTTAAAACCAAATCACAAAGAAAGAGAAATTCTTCGTGTAAGGTAAAAAAAAAAAACAAATTATTTTGTTCGATATCGATTACATATTGAGAAAAGCATAAAATTACATTTTATAATAAGCGATGGAAAATTTATTGAAAGTACATTACTTGAAATAATCGGATCACTTTTTATGGATAATTCAGGAGAACGAATCATATATTTTACACTTTATCCAAGATAATTAGAAGATCATTTATCTATAGAAATAATTTTATTGCCAAACGAGTTGGACAACCATTGAAAATTAGCATTTCATTGATTCGTTCTCCTGAATTGTCCAGAAAATTGATCTGTCGATTACTTTAATTAATTCATTCTTGCTAAACGTTTCACTCGTATCGGGCATGTTGAAACTTTCATGATATTCATTTAATAACAAAACTATGCGATCTTCGAATTATTTTGAGCAGTGTATTGTAAATAACGTTTGATAATAATACTATTCCTTTCACTTTTATAGAATGTTTTGTTTTCTACAGGAATTTTTATAGAAACATCTTTACCACGTAGCTTTCGCAACGTTTGTTACAATTAGACTGCGGATCTTTATACAAAATTAATAGAATTAATGAAACAAAAGCTTCGCAGAGCCTAAAAATAATAATTCGTATTCTTACTTTAAGTATTTCTCATGTTTTTGCATATTAAATGCGTTCTGTAGTTTCTTGACGATTAAAATTACCCACAAATGCATTTCCGCAGTCTGGTTCTAATCATTCATAAATTAATGCATTTGAGAATCGTTCGCTCTTTCAGAACCGGTGACACAGAGTACGATGCCACAATTGATGCTACGGGTAATAAAATAATAGAAGAGTGTCTGTTGGGAGCACCGTTACCAATCGAACCAAATATATACGCCAGGCCCACTGTCCGAACGCTCCAAAGTTTTAACAGAAAAGAAAATTGCCCATCCGTCCAACATATTTTGATTCACCTTCGAAGTGAATACGACGATAAGAAATTCTAAAAAGAAAAATCCCCAACGCACCCATTTTCAGAAAGATTTAATGGAAAATGAGTATTAAATTGTAGGCGAAAGGAACAAAGGATTGTTGTTCTGCTTACGCATACTTAGTTCCGTTACAAATATATTATTTCCTATTCTCACCAGACTTAACTATTATCTTACAATTCTTCGCGTCCACACTGGGGGACACTGCAATATATTTCGAATCTTACATTTATAATTTTACAATTATTTACAAGCCCGGCTTTGACCAAATAAACGTCTTCTTTCTTTGCCCGACCATTTGTGAAAGGTACTATATTCGATTGCGTGGAATACATCGAAATGTTCACAAGTTTTCGATTTCACAAGAATCTAACCTTTTTCTAATTTTAGAAACGTGCAACATGTATTGTTTTTATAAATTTCAAAATGAAACTTCAAAAATCTGTGAACATCTGCTATATTTTACATAAAAGAAGATTCACTTATAAATTTTGAGAGATTTCGATAGCTACTCAACACATTACCGGCCGATAGCCTATCAATCGGCTGTTTTACCGACCGATGGCGTATTAATAAACTTCTTTACCGACCGACGGTTACCGGTCGGTAAAGTGTTAAAAGTAATAAACGTTACACACCGATCGACCAAAATATCAACACCTCGAGATTAGATACGTTATTTACAATAAGCCACTGCATAAAATAAGCAACTTCCTTACAATATATCCTTAACAATAATCTATCTTCCATAAAGCTTTCCATTAGACTAAATTAATTGTACTAGCACTCAAAATTGTACAAAAAGTCTTATCGGCGGACGCGCACACTCAGCATCATAGTTCATCGTTACAATGGAAGGTTAAGATTAATTCGTTTATAAAATCTATTCTACAAATGGTACCCAGCACGTAACAAATAAATTATAGTTTTCAGTCTCTCGATCCAATGTAGCGATACGTACGTCGTATGAAATTTTATAAATATTAAAAATCTTACATCCGATATGTTACACTGCCAAGCCTTCCTATGTACAGAACATATCTATGTTAATTATATATAATTAAATTGCGATATACCGTTTTACAAATTTCAATTCAATTTTTTCCGTTGTATCGCGACAATGACGCTACGCAATAATATTATCAAGTATGGTGTTAGGCTACACGCAAAGAGAAATTAAAAAAATATACGACTTAAACAACTTTTACAAACGTATTATATACAACCTTGATAACTCTTCGCGGCTTCTTGTCCATAAAAATTCTACCTGCACTGAACCTCCTATCAAGATATTATTTACAAAATGTCTTTCGAATGATTACGTAAAGCAGGATTTCGTCACAGACACATTTTCCCTTTTTCACTTATTACAACACTCCGTCCAATTTATCTATCTACATTAAACGATTGTTCGAGGTAACAATATCATCCTCAGAGATCATATCCTGAAGTGGTATACCTGGTTTCTGTAAGAGTTATTAAAAAACACTTAATCTTAACACATTACCGACCGATATTAATCGACTGTATTACCGGCCAACACCTACCGACCGATAGCGTATTAATCAACTGTTTTACCGACCAACGGTTACCGACTGATGGCCGATTAATCGACCGCTACCGGCCGGTAAAGCGTTAAGAGCTACGTATTTTCCGATATCAAACATTTTCACTTACCTCGATGACGATCGTGGAGGCCATGTTGTCTGTGTCGTGGTACTGTACACCCACGTTCGCTGCCGCGATCGCTATAGTACGAACGGTGTTGGTGCTGGTCGATGACGCGATGTGCTGGGTAATCATGGAGTTTTCATTCGTTCTACTGGAACCATTACACTCTTATATGCGTAAAATATGAATGAGACACTGTGCTTGCGTTCTAGCGAAAACAATCAGAGCTATGTGACATATATAGCAACTTACTTTCGCTTCTTTACCTGGCCGGAATGGAAACGACCGCCTTCGCCACGAATTCTGTTCATTGCATGCCGATGACGGGATTCGTGCAGGTATTTCTGCGACAGAAGATTAATTTAAATACTAGCCTTCAGGAGTCAATAAAAAAAAACGCCAAAAAGGTAAAAAATTGTTCCCTTTTTCATTGTACATTATATGAAAGGTTCAGCAAATTTAACCGGGCCATTTTCCATAAGATCTGTGCGGGGTCCTTTATTTCAGAGCGAACCAAGGAATTTATTTAACGGAACAACATTGCGGCTTGTTTTAAGGTTAATTCCAGAAATTCAAATGTTGATTAACACTAGAAAGACTGAAACTTAGTATATACCTATATTGGCCAAAAGCAGTCAAAATGACTGCATCGTGAAAGACTAACTAATGTGTAAAGAAATTTGTTTAAAAATAATTTTTAATATTACGTTATAATATTATGAATTTAAGGCGCAGAAATAAAACAAACAACTTGAGACTACAGGGTCAACAATTAGGGTGAATATCGATTCCGACCAGGTGGGTCCCGATCGACCTCGTCTCGAGCCTCGACTCTTACACAGGAAAACAATCGAGTATTGTTCCACAACTTCCTGTCTTCGGTGTTTTTATTCCTGTGGTTGCCTTTGGAATCAATTCTTTTCGCTCGATCATGATGCATTCAATCGATGATCGATAACCTTCTTCTTGCGCTTTCTACCGACGATGTGATATCAAAATGGAGAAAGAAACGTCGATGGATAGTGTGCACTAGGTGTTTTATAAAACGTGAAATTGAACATAATTTTCGATAATTGATAGTGATGTTGATCTAATCGTTTAATACGTATTGCCAGACAGACCTAACCCAGACATAAGACAGACATAACCCAGACTTAATTCAGACTTATTCCAGACCTAACCCAGACCTAACCCAAACCTAGGTCTGGGTTACGTCTGGGTTAGGTCTGGATTAAGTCTGGGTTAGGTCTGAATTAAGTCTGGGTTAGGTCTGGGTTAGGTCTGGATTAGATTTGGGTTAGGTCTGGGTTAGGTCTGGATTAGATTTGGGTTAGGTCTGGGTTAGGTCTGAATTAAGTCTGGGTTAGGTCTGGGTTAGGTCTGGATTAGATTTGGGTTAGGTCTGGGTTAGGTCTGGATTAGATTTGGGTTAGGTCTGAATTAAGTCTGGGTTAGGTCTGGATTAGATCTGAGTTAGGTCTGGGTTAGGTCTGGGTTAGGTCTGAGTTAGGTCTGGGTTAGGTCTGGATTAGATTTGGGTTAGGTCTGGGTTAGGTCTGAATTAAGTCTGGGTTAGGTCTGGATTAGGTCTGGGTTAGGTCTGGATTAGGTCTGGATTAGATCTGAGTTAGGTCTGGGTTAGGTCTGGATTAGATCTGGGTTAGGTCTGGATTATATCTGAGTTAGGTCTGGATTAGATCTGGGTTAGGTCTGGATTAGATCTGGGTTAGGTCTGGATTAGATCTGGATTAGATCTGGGTTAGGTCTGGATTAGATCTGAGTTAGGTCTGGGTTAGGTCTCATTTACACTGTTGTTGTATTTTGTAATTTCCAAGTGTATGACTTGGTTTGGACTCGAAAAAATGTCGAATGGGACTTGACGAACAATGCTTTTAAGTGTTTTATTTGAAATTTACCTGTTAAAATAAGTGTTTTATTTACACTGTTGTTGTATTTTGTAATTTCCAAGTGTATGATATCTGTTTGGTTTGGACATTGAAAGAATGTCGAGTGAGACTTGACGAAGGTGCTCCTGAGATCAAAATTGATGTCGAATCACACTCGACATAGGAGTGCAAAGGGTTAAGATAATTTGGATTATTAACTAATCCAGACCTAAACCAGACGTAACCCAGATCTAATTCAGATCTAATCCAGACCTAACCCAGAGCTAACTCAGATCTAATCCAGACCTAACCCAGACCTAACCCAGATCTAATTCAGATCTAATCCAGACCTAACCCAGAGCTAACTCATATCTAATCCAGACCTAACCCAGACCTAACTCAGATCTAATCCAGACCTAACCCAGACCTAACCCAAATCTAATCCAGACCTAACCCAGACTTAATTCAGACCTAACCCAGACCTAACCCAGACCTAACCCAGACCTAACCCAAATCTAATCCAGACCTAACCCAGACTTAATTCAGACCTAACCCAGACCTAACCCAGACCTAACCCAGATCTAATCCAGACCTAACCCAGAGCTAACTCAGATCTAATCCAGACCTAACCCAGACCTAACCCAGATCTAATCCAGACCTAACCCAGACCTAACCCAGATCTAATTCAGATCTAATCCAGACCTAACCCAGAGCTAACTCATATCTAATCCAGACCTAACCCAGAGCTAACTCAGATCTAATCCAGACCTAACCCAGAGCTAACTCAGATCTAATCCAGACCTAACCCAGATCTAGGGTCTGGGTTAGGTCTGAATTAAGTCTGGGTTAGGTACGCCCAAATCGACAATTTATCATGTACTTGTATGTTATCATGTGTTGGTAATCGAAAAAAAAATGAAAACTGTTATTTCAATAGAGAGTCGAACTGGTCATATAAGAAATTTACTCAATTCAATAATAAGAGTGATTTGATTATTTAAAATTTCCCAAGCAGTCAAAATGACTGCTTTTTTGGGCAATATAGGTATAACACATATATATATATACCGGAAATGAAGGAGGGGAGAGGTAACTACAATTATTAATAAACGCATTTATATGTTGTGCAAAATGTGACAAAATTCTAAGAAATTGTGTCATTATATACATAATTGTTTTTCTAATTGAAATTAAAAAGCAGTCAAAATTACTTCCTTGGGCAATCTAGTGTTAAATAATAACGAAACAAACTTACGGGTCTCTCTTTCGGTATTTTTCCTTCTGCTTCTAGTTTAGCACGAGCCTGACGACGTTTCAATATGCGCCTATACTGTTTAGCATTTACGTACAGCGGTTCTTCTTCGAAAACTTCAGCATTTGGCAACGCTACCCTTTGGAACTGTGTCTGCCCACTGTTTCCAGGGACCATCTGATCGTCAAAGATCGAAACATATTATTAAATTTTTTAATAGAAATATAAGTTTCAAGTATCGATAAATTATATATATTTCTTCGTTTCAAAGTAAAAACATTGACAATACTGTTGCTCCGTAATCACTACAAGTCAGTATAATATATGTACACAGACTATGTAAGTGAAAGAGACGTTCTAATAGTACCATGACAACGTTTCCTGCCTGAGATGCTGCTGCCGTAGGGCTAGCCAAAGGCTGCACCGGTGTCGTAGTCGCAGCAGTGGTGGTAGTCTGCGACGTCGTACCAGCGATTTGCATAAGATTTCCATTGATATTAATTACTACAAACAGCGACAGAATTAAAACGTCACCTTTGTAACAACATCGCTGGAAAAAAGGTCTATCTACCTGTAGGTTGCGCCTGTTGAACTTGCCCCTCCAATTGAACCGGCTGATAAATATACGTTTGCCCATCCGGTGTTTGTATGATCTGCGGCGTTTGCGGTTGCTGTATCACGATCTGCTGGCCCGTACTGGTTAAACTAGACACCGGCACCACTTGTATCTGTCCGTTAGGCGCAGCTACTTGTATAGCCTGCGGCAACATCATCGCCTGACCCCCTTGGCCCATTTGAACTACCTGGACGGTCCCCCCAGCATTCCCAACCACGACTGCCTGTCCCTCTCCCAACTGATCCATCGCGAGTCTTTTCTAACTCTAAATAGAGAACATAGTGTTATGGTAAAGCAACGATAGGTGTATTTACAAGGTTCTGACTCACAGAAAAGATATAATATTGACGTAGATTGATGTAGAATGTTAATTGTGGTCATCTAAGAGATAGTTGTTAATTGTAACGTTAACTAAGACGTTCTCTTTGATTAGATTTGTCTGGATCGACGCTGTAATTAACAACTTTCTCCTAGATGGCAGGAATTGATACTTTGCGATATGCATTGACGTTATAACCTCAGACTTAACATTAAATAGTAAGTTGGCGAGTATAAATTCTTTAATAGAATAGAAATAAGTAAAATTTATGAACGAAACAAAGGTAATGGCTTTCTATGCACAAATGGCTACATTATGAATCATGTAGAAACACTGTCGTCCTTATTGGGCAGAACGCAGATAAATAGAAATGAAAAGGTTAGATTCATCGAGGTTTGTCCCATAGCGGCTGGCGATCGTCGATAAGGATCGCCAACGTGGCTAAGCACATTGGGGGTCCGAGGGCCCCACGTGCCGGAACGACAGAGAATCGAGGCCAGACCGAGTAATCATCACCTTCTGTCGCGCAGAGACCGCTTCCTAACGATGTTGTATCCCGTTCTTTGCGACATGGTTAACCTCGTATCCTCCGGATGGTTAACGTGCGGAGATACGAAACGAGGGACGAGCGGATCGCGAGGTAGACGGAACGCTACGTGCTCGTTAGCGAACAACGCGGATTTCCGACGAGAAATACCCGTTCTTGGCAAACATGGCCGTGCTGAAAGGCTTTTCGAACGTCACCGAGAGGCGAGATCGCACTTGGAACGGTTCGCGGAACGAAAACCACGGTTATTCCGTGCAACCGTGCGCGACCGTACGTGTACCCCGGTGATGTTTGATAATTTGTGGACTTACATTGGATATTTTCGTGGGCACTTTCCCAATGATTGGTCGGCAAATTGAGGACCAATGGTCGGCGATAGAGAGTCCTCGGCTCTTGTGTATTGGTGGCACTGAACGGGGGGACCTGCCAGTACGATAGCAGCCCGATGCCAGACCGGTCGATGCCCCTCCGCTCCACCACGCGCCCGACCAATCTACTCGCTTTACTTATCCCCACCACCCGCTTCCCGCGCTCTCGTTGAACTTCGCGCGTACCTCGCTGCCTCGTTCCCGCTTCTTTTTAAATCGATACAACCAATAGCTCAGATAAAATTTTATCACGATGAACCGGATCATCGCCACTTATTCAATTTAATTTCAAACACAACTACCATTGCAGACTGAAACACTTTTATTTAAATTTTAACAATATGCTATTATCAATTTTGATGTTTTATATAACATATTTGGTTTAAGTAAATTTTAACCATTTTCTTTTATTTTAGGTAACGATAACCTGCATTACAATGCATTATAATTTAACGTGTAACTTATTTAATGATTATTTAATGATAGTTTTTAGCGACTCATTCATGCGAATAATAAATATTTCTTCTTTCGTACCTTTCATTCTTAATGTTTGATATTACTATTTTAACACTTATATTACCAATTTTGATGTTCTATATAACATATTTGGTTGAAGTAAATTTTCACTATTTTCTCTAACTATGAGCACTGATAACCTGCGTTACAACTTCTTTCAACGTTTGACTTATTTAACCCGTTACCTTACAACGACGTCTTAGAGACGTGATAAGTCTGTCGGGCCAAACATGAATAAGACGTCTCAGAGACGTGACAAGTCTACCGGGCCAAACCTTGGTGTCGCTTTTGGCACGCACAGTTGGAAATTAGATCGTAAGGCAAGGGGTTGATGATTATTTAATGATAGTTGTTGTCGACTTATCCATGCGAATACTAAATATACTTTTATATAAATGTCAACGATACGCCATTACTAATTTTGATGTTCTATATAACACATTTGGTTGAAGTAAATTTTCACTATTTTCTCTAACTATGAGCACTGATAACCTGCGTTACAACTTCTTTCAACGTTTGACTTATTTAACCCGTTACCTTACAACGACGTCTTAGAGACGTGATAAGTCTGTCGGGCCAAACATGAATAAGACGTCTCAGAGACGTGACAAGTCTACCGGGCCAAACCTTGGTGTCGCTTTTGGCACGCACAGTTGGAAATTAGATCGTAAGGCAAGGGGTTGATGATTATTTAATGATAGTTGTTGTCGACTCATCCATGCGAATACTAAATATACTTTTATATAAATGTCAACGATACGCCATTACTAATTTTGATGTTCTATATAACACATTTGGTTGAAGTAAATTTTCACTATTTTCTCTAACTATGAGCACTGATAACCTGCGTTACAACTTCTTTCAACGTTTGACTTATTTAACCCGTTACCTTACAACGACGTCTTAGAGACGTGATAAGTCTGTCGGGCCAAACATGAATAAGACGTCTCAGAGACGTGACAAGTCTACCGGGCCAAACCTTGGTGTCGCTTTTGGCACGCACAGTTGGAAATTAGATCGTAAGGCAAGGGGTTGACGATTATTTAATGATAGTTGTTGTCGACTTATCCATGCGAATACTAAATATACTTTTATATAAATGTCAACGATACGCCATTACTAATTTTGATGTTCTATATAACACATTTGGTTGAAGTAAATTTTCACTATTTTCTCTAACTATGAGCACTGATAACCTGCGTTACAACTTCTTTCAACGTTTGACTTATTTAACCCGTTACCTTACAACGACGTCTTAGAGACGTGATAAGTCTGTCGGGCCAAACATGAATAAGACGTCTCAGAGACGTGACAAGTCTACCGGGCCAAACCTTGGTGTCGCTTTTGGCACGCACAGTTGGAAATTAGATCGTAAGGCAAGGGGTTGATGATTATTTAATGATAGTTGTTGTCGACTCATCCATGCGAATACTAAATATACTTTTATATAAATGTCAACGATACGCCATTACTAATTTTGATGTTCTATATAACACATTTGGTTGAAGTAAATTTTCACTATTTTCTCTAACTATGAGCACTGATAACCTGCGTTACAACTTCTTTCAACGTTTGACTTATTTAACCCGTTACCTTACAACGACGTCTTAGAGACGTGATAAGTCTGTCGGGCCAAACATGAATAAGACGTCTCAGAGACGTGACAAGTCTACCGGGCCAAACCTTGGTGTCGCTTTTGGCACGCACAGTTGGAAATTAGATCGTAAGGCAAGGGGTTGATGATTATTTAATGATAGTTGTTGTCGACTCATCCATGCGAATGCTAAATATTTCTTCTTTCGTACCTTTCATTCTTAATGTTTGATATTACTATTTTAACACTTATATTACTAATTTTGATGTTTTGATGGTCGATTGTATGAGTTAGATGAATTGAAAGATGGACCAATGGATCTAGGTCCATGCCCACTTGGAGAACAATGGGTTCAAGCAGCGAAACCCATAATTCAAAAAAAGAATAAATAAATATAACGAGGGAGAAATAGAGGGCTTGCTCTTAGCAATTCCGATGTAATAAGAGAAGTACATAATTCTTTTTCAAGGCAAACACTGTTTGAATATGACTCGAAAATAGCATCTAAAGACGATGATGTTTTTCATTTTGTAAGTTATATACCGATTGATACTAATTTTGATGTTCTATGTAACATATTTGGTTGAAGTAAATTTTAACCATTTTCTCTAACTTTGAGCACTGATAACCTGCGTTACAACTTCTTTCAACGCGTGACCTATTTAATGATTATTTAATGATAGTTGTTGTCGACTTATCATTGCGAATGCTAAATATTTCTTCTTTCGTACCTTTCATTCTTAATGTTTGATATTACTATTTTAACACTTATATTACTAATTTTGATGTTTTGATGGTCGATTGTATGAGTTAGATGAATTGAAAGATGGACCAATGGATCTAGGTCCATGCCCACTTGGAGAACAATGGGTTCAAGCAGCGAAACCCATAATTCAAAAAAAGAATAAATAAATATAACGAGGGAGAAATAGAGGGCTTGCTCTTAGCAATTCCGATGTAATAAGAGAAGTACATAATTCTTTTTCAGGGCAAACACTGTTTGAATATGACTCGAAAATAGCATCTAAAGACGATGATGTTTTTCATTTTGTAAGTTATATACCGATTGATACTAATTTTGATGTTCTATGTAACATATTTGGTTGAAGTAAATTTTAACCATTTTCTCTAGCTTTGAGCACTGATAACCTGCGTTACAACTTCTTTCAACGCGTGACCTATTTAATGATTATTTAATGATAGTTGTTGTCGACTTATCATTGCGAATGCTAAATATTTCTTCTTTCGTACCTTTCATTCTTAATGTTTGATATTACTATTTTAACACTTATATTACTAATTTTGATGTTTTGATGGTCGATTGTATGAGTTAGATGAATTGAAAGATGGACCAATGGATCTAGGTCCATGCCCACTTGGAGAACAATGGGTTCAAGCAGCGAAACCCATAATTCAAAAAAAGAATAAATAAATATAACGAGGGAGAAATAGAGGGCTTGCTCTTAGCAATTCCGATGTAATAAGAGAAGTACATAATTCTTTTTCAAGGCAAACACTGTTTGAATATGACTCGAAAAAAGCATCTAAAGACGATGATGTTTTTCATTTTGTAAGTTATATACCGATTGATACTAATTTTGATGTTCTATGTAACATATTTGGTTGAAGTAAATTTTAACCATTTTCTCTAACTTTGAGCACTGATAACCTGCGTTACAACTTCTTTCAACGCGTGACTTATTTAATGATTATTTAATGATAGTTGTTAGCGACTTATCATTGCGAATGCTAAATATTTCTTCTTTCGTACCTTTCATTCTTAATGTTTGATATTACTATTTTAACACTTATATTACTAATTTTGATGTTTTGATGGTCGATTGTATGAGTTAGATGAATTGAAAGATGGACCAATGGATCTAGGTCCATGCCCACTTGGAGAACAATGGGTTCAAGCAGCGAAACCCATAATTCAAAAAAAGAATAAATAAATATAACGAGGGAGAAATAGAGGGCTTGCTCTTAGCAATTCCGATGTAATAAGAGAAGTACATAATTCTTTTTCAAGGCAAACACTGTTTGAATATGACTCGAAAATAGCATCTAAAGACGATGATGTTTTTCATTTTGTAAGTTATATACCGATTGATACTAATTTTGATGTTCTATATAACATATTTGGTTGAAGTAAATTTTAACCATTTTCTCTAACTTTGAGCACTGATAACCTGCGTTACAACTTCTTTCAACGCGTGACCTATTTAATGATTATTTAATGATAGTTGTTGTCGACTTATCATTGCGAATGCTAAATATTTCTTCTTTCGTACCTTTCATTCTTAATGTTTGATACTATTTTAACATTTCTATATTTGTTCTTTCTAAGTCAGATATTTTATACTTCTAATCAAAATGTTTAACGGAGAAAAATAAAAAGTTCATACTTGAGGAGTTTTCTGATTATTTCTCTTATCGCTGAAAGAATACATGCAATTGCTTATCAAGATATCGGGCGAGGAGTGAAAATATTACTCTGATAAAAGCTTTTTATTTCTCATTTTATCAGTGCGAATATTATCGATCGATTAGTAAGCTTTCCCTCGCAGAACTGAGCCTAAACACGATTTTATTCATACTAATTTCTAATTTAATTGAATAGCCCAAATAAGATCATATTTAGACTCATTTCCATTAGTTAATTGATATTACCTTTGCAAAGATATAATGGGAAAGTATAAAAAGTTTAAATTCGCATTAAGTTTCAACTATTTGATTGAGTTCGACCTTTTCTAAAAAAAAGAAAATTTTTTTACCATTCCTACAATTTAAATATCAAAATCGAACTTAGAATTTCGAGAAATTAGATCGTTTCGAGATATTAACAATATGAAATTTTAATTTGGTTCCCTCATAACCACAAATTATTTACGCAAACGTTAAACAACGCACTAACAAGAATATTACGTAAATTGTTTAAATTATTTATTGAAATAAAAATATACCTGGATACAAATAAAATCATGCATCTATGCATCTGAATATTAATCTTTTTATTTGTATTTATAATCATCGAAATCTCGAGTTTTGTTGGGACTTTTGTTAGCCCCCCATTTGAGCCTCTTTTGTGTCCGTCACTGGGTTCGAGATAAGTCCCACCATGACAAAATGACTGACCCACCGTATGCACCTGGTGGAGAATTGACATCTTTATATTTCTGAATTTTCTCTATCATTCCACTTTATTTTCTCTAACAATCTATCCTTTAACATTAAAATAATTTATTTCCGTGAGAGCGGAATTTTGTCAATATTGTAACTCGAAAGTTGTGCCACAGACGTATATTTACAAACAACGAAAAATTACAATTATATACATCGAGTACCTATACAGGACGTGTCATACATTTGGGGCACACGACAGAGAACTAGATTGTAAACAGAAAAGTTTAATAACATTATTATAAACGTATATTCGTTTTTGTGTAAGATGGTATTAGGGTACAATGTTTACAAAATCAATATTTTTTTACACGTTTTTTTGATAAGTCGTACATTTCGTAGAAGACACGCATATTTATTGTAAATGCGAACGTGAGACAACGTTCGACCTTTCAAAGGCAGATACACTAATGATCAACAAGATTCCATTAATCACTAATGAGTTTATCGTCATGACAAGTTAAAATTCGACTTATCAACAAAGCAAAAATCTCACAAAATATTGACTTTTTAAACACTGCACTTCAATACATTTTACACAGAATATTTTGAAGAATCAATGCGGGGAAAAAATTCCTTCAAAAACAATACATTTTCTGTTCTCGCTTGCATTGTATTTGTAGAAAAAGTGTTGTGCAAAAATAAATACTGCCGTACCACACAATTTTAACTGTTTCTTACCTAATTCAAAGTACAACACGTCCAAATTGCATGCTACATCCTGTAAGACGTTCCGTTACAAGTGTACGAATCCTATTTTGTTCACTTTATGCTTCGAACTCTGACACGATCAGATATTTCGAGTATAATAATATTACTCCAATGTTTCCCGATGCGCAGCAACAATTTACATGTAGTGCGTCTCAATTATTTTACAATTTTGACACACACCGATAGAAATAATATAATTGAATTTGATTTTCTTGGTTCGATAGTCTCCGACAGAAATATTTCTCTAAAAAATTTAGAGTATAACCAATGATATTCTGGAATAAGAATAGATTGGTCTAAATGTACATACGATTGCAAGTCTCAGACTATTTTCTTAAATTTCTTTCCCAGAAAATGTAATCGAAGATAAATTTGAAACCAACGATAACATAATATTGCGTCATGTATGTACACGTTAGAAATGCAGCAAACGATACGCAATAATTACTGGTAAAATTAACAATCGTCAGTGTGACGTTGTAAGAATGTTTTCGTACCTCTATTTATACAAAGCGTACCCAGGGAATATCCAGAATTATATCAATATTAATACGAGTATTTGGATCTCTGTATGTTTCTGATTTCTGCGACTGCTCGATCGCTGAAACTTTTAAATAACAGAGAATAAAATAATCTATCTTTTTAGTCTTAAACTAAAACCTATCGATCCCATCGATTTCACCTGTAAATTATAAATAATTTACCAGCGATGAACAATTATACCGTATGAAAAGTATAAATGTGAGAAGATGTACGTTAGAAATAAAATCTTTAATACGATTAGTTTCTGTAGAATACAATACGCTCAAAAGCATTGACATTTTTTTAAAGATTTTTATACAACTCTTGCAACAAATTTAGCTCGTTTTTACAATTCCGGTTACTTCTATTAAATAGCATAACAAATACGATTTATATTACTTTTAGTCGCCATTTATTGCTTATATAACAATTTTTATTTGATTTTTCATTATTCACAAAATAATACGTGATCTTTTAATGATTCGTTTTCAGTTCAATGGGTGTAAATGAACGAAGAATGAAAAATATATAACAACTAACACAGCTTTAGAAAAATATAACAAAATTTTAATAAACACCAAGTGTGCACGAGAACGTTGCCCATTATTAAATAACATAACATTAATAATAAAGTTAATCGATAAGAATCTAACTGTTACAAATCCTTATCTGAATAAATTAAGTGTTTATGTTTGCTCGAGACAAAATAAAAATACAATTTTAAATATATAAATGAGAAATATTTCATCCATCCCTGACTGTTTACTGTTACTGTAACTGTTATCTAATCAATGTTGAATATTTCGTTAGAAATTGATAGAAATTTTTTGTACAATATTGATCGAAAACTGAAAACATTTTCACCAGTTTATAAAAATTATCTCTCGATAAACTTTAAACCTATGTTACAATTACATTTGTCAGCGACAAAATAACCTTCGTGTTACTCGTTTCCTACCACACACAGCGAAGAGCAATAACAATGGATTAGTATTATACAATATCGCATGTAAGTTATAGCATTAGCAAATTCAGTTCTTTCCATCTGGGGACTGTTTTTTCATTTTAAATATCATAGCTTGTAACATTTCGAAATAATCTTTTATGCAAACTGTTCAGTCGTTGGCATGTCCTTGCGGAGAAATAGTACCTCGACTCTATGATACACTGCGTTGTAATTCTTAAATGATATTTATGTTCCGAGTAATTTCAGATTATCTTACTGAAAATCGATTTCGAAAGGATGTATGGTTTTCAATATCATGCGTTAGGGTTTCGCTCAAGCAGGACGTAGCTGTGATCCTACTTAGGAAATACTGCAAGATCATGATAAGAAAGGAACTACCAAGTCCTCTTTGTGCTCAACTTTTACGTCCTCTAACGCTGTCACAGCTTTATTGAGCATTTCGGTGATCTATAAATACAATTTAAATGATTATTTACTAAACTGCTTAAGCGAAGAAGTTTGTACCAAATCGACAAGAGCCATTTTTGATTCTTTGTTCCTTCTTCTTCTATTCTCAATTATAAAATACTTCTAAACGTAGCGAAAAGAGCTCGTAACCAAAAACTACCCTTATCGACATCTGTTCATTCTATTTACCAATTCATGATCTCCGACAGAAATAGGATCGGCTGCTAATATCTTTTCTGGAGCCGGTATATCTTTGAGTAGGCAAGACGTACTGTCAGGGACTTTAACGCCTCCGGTTTCTATGCGTTTTGAATATGTACGCGACCTATCTATGTATTCGTGCTGCTCCAAATTATGCGAATCCAACGCTCCAACATCTATCACATTGCTGGGGGAAAGAAATATTTATTTCTGTTTTATATGATGCTGCTGCTCAAATAAATATATAAAAATGCAACAGAAACATAAAAAGAAACAGTATATTCCTAGCAAAACCTAGTTCATCGATCGGGGTGAGTTATACGTCATTCGATTCGTCTAATTCAATACATTATTGATATGCATTTCATTATCTGAGGAAATTCGTTATTTTTTTATAAACTTGTTGTAAAGTTACGGTAAAAAAGTAAGGTTAAGTATATTTTGACAAGTCCACAGGTGGAAACAGGCGACTGTCGTTACTCTGTTCAAAATGCTAGCTAGTCGAATGCTAAATTGTTAAACATTTATCGAATGAAATTTCTACTATTTCTGCTAATATTTCATCGAATAAACCACCATTTTTCTGTTAGGTACATTTACTAAATACATAACGGCTCAGGCATTCGATGAAGTTACTCTTCTTAAAAATATAAAATATCGATAGTATTATATGTTATAAAAAAGATTAAAAAATGTGTAGCACGCCTCCAAGTGGTTTCAATTTAATTCGTGTAAGCATCGGTAATGGGATCTTCGAAACTGACGCTGTGATTAATTTTCAAGCGACCTCTGCGATATTTTCTATGACAAAATGTTGATTCATCGATCTCGACAATCCACTCTACTCTTCCAATCGCTGAGCAGTATTTTTATTTAATTTTAGTTATATAATAATACGACGTTGCTCATAATTATATGTTAGTATATACGTTAATTTTAAAACATCTACAGCCGAGTTTGTTTTTAGAAAACCCACGTTCTTTGCTTTGCAAATATCTTTATATTACGATGTCTTCTACGTTTAGTTTGATCGACAGATCCTGGAATAGTTATCCCGCATTGGCAATTTTCATAACATTTCCACGTTGCAGATAGTACAAGAAACAGAAGAAAAGCAGAAATTGTTCTCAATAATCATTCGTTTCGACTGTCATTTCTGATTTTCTTCTGTTACTTGTACTTTGCGAATTTTGTTCAACCGTGCTATAAAAATGACCGAATTAGTAGTTCCAGAAGCGTGGACCTTATTTAAATTGCACGAATTTTGTAAAAATAAAGAAGCTTTATTAAAATTTTTTGCAAGATAAAAAGTTGATTGGCAAAAATCTTAATTGTCCGCAGCGTGGAAACGTAATGAAATTGGACGATGAAAATTGGCGTTGTAGAAAAACAATTGCAGCATCACTTAGTGCTTGCAAACGAAAGCGAACTTGTGATGTAAAAATATGTGTAAAACGTGGAACGTGGTTTTCAAAAACAAAGCTTTCTTATGAAATGGTATTAAAATTAACTTGCACGTTAGTCCATAATTTTGATCGATATCAGATTGTACGAGAATTACAATTGAATAAAAATACTGTTTCTCGATGGAATTATTTTGTAAAACAAGTTATGACTGATTGGCTACAACATTCGTGCGAAGTACTTGGCGGACCAGGCAAAATAGTAGAAATAGACGAATCTAAGTTCGGACGAAGAAAATATCACAGAGGTCATCGTGTAGAGGGACAATGGGTTTTTTGGAGGAATAGAAAGAGGAAGTGGAAAAATATTCCTGGTGTCTGTTGAAAGTAGAGACACAGAGTCCCTGCTTTCAATAATTAAACAATGGGTGTTGCCTGGCGCAACAATTATTTCAGATTGTTGGAAAGCCTGTAACATCTTAGAGAAAGAGGGGTACAAACATCTTACCGTAAACCACAGCTTACATTTCAAAGACCCGGAAACAGGCGCTCGTACAAATACGATAGAAACTACGTGGAGGCATAGTAAACACTTTTTGCCTGAATATTGTCGGTTAGTATTTGTAATTTTGCACGTATTTTAATATTTTCTGTAACATACAATACCATAAAATTTTCTATTTTTAGCAAGAAAGATAATTTCATTGGGTATTTAAGCCACTACGTATTTTACAAATTTTCCCAAGCAAGGAAAGGATGTATTTAACCAGCTATTAAAAGAAATTGCAGAAATTTCATTCGATTCTACGGAAAACCAAACTATACCAGACCTGGATGATAATGAAATTTAATAATAAAAAAAAGTTAATCCAACGCACTGCATACAATAGTAATTTATTATATTCTCTACCCGTAAACACTGTTTGGGGGGGGGGCGCAACATTTTTTGCTCTTGCTGCATGTACTGTCTACGTATAAGTACTGTCCGAGTTGGTCTGGGTTATATTTGGGGGGGAATTGTTGCGGCACATGCGTCTACCTGACCGACTCATGGCAAAGTCTATCCGTAACAAAATGATTTTTATGCATACGCATTCTACAAATTCCCGTTCGGCAATCTAGCATTGTCAAATTAGATCAATCATTTATATCTGTAACATGAACATAGAAACGACAGTCACTTGTTTCTATCTGTGAAAAAAATGTACCTAACTTTACTTTTTTACTGTAACTTTGCGACAAGTTTATAAAAAAATAACGACAATGAAGATAATGAAATGCGTATCAATAATGTATTGAATTGTACGAATCCGAATGACGTATAACTCACCCCGATCGGTGAACGGTTTGCTGGGAATGTTCCAAATATACAAAAACGCAACGAAAACATAAAAAGAAACACTCACGCCGCAGTCTCGTGTAAAATTCTATTCAGTGCACTTTGTTCGTCCGTCTTCTTGGGCGCGGAACTTGCATATTGATTAACATAATCGTCGCTGGAAGAAAAAGCGAACGAAGAAGCTTCGTCAAATTTTATAAGTAATACGTAAAGGGAAGAACGATGACGTACCTGTGTACTCTGGGTATGTTCGTACTGTTACTGACGGGGTCTACCAACAAGTGTGTCCTTTCATTTATTTCCCCGCTCTGGGCAAAAGAATTTCAGAAAAAAAATTAGAAAAAAAATTACACTTTTCTCCAAATTGTTATAAATTGAAATTTAACTACTGGTCCGTTTGGAAATTGATACTCGGGTAGGCGTAATCGCGATTAGTTTCTACGGTTTAACGACCGTGCGATAAAAAGTTTTTCAAAACAACAACATCGATCGAAATGTATCGTTTACCTGCGGTCCGCTGTCCTCTTTACAAAAGCTATAACAACATCCCATACTTGGACGATTGATAAACTGTTTTCAACAGTAACACGTTGCGGCGCTCGTGTGTAATAAGAATCATCAACAGTGGATACAACCAACAAGTTTTGTTAAGAACAATATATGCCATGAATACGCACACACACACGCACACTGCCAAACTGACTCTCCGACTTTGGTTTCTCGAAAACTAACTAGGGAGATTCCCTAGGGGGTGGCAAAAACCACGACGTATTATGTTTTATCTGATTCCTGTAAACGATCGGATGAATCATACGTGTACGTACTTTCTCGCCCGCTATAAATAAATTATACATACTCCGAGGCGTGACAGGCTTTTCAAACCAGATATGAATACTCCAATGGGAAGTATCATTTATCAAGCACATGTGACCGACATGTGACGCGCGACTGGCGGAGTCTCGGCGTACTAAGCTCGAACAACATAACCACACTTATTCTCAGTGTACACAATTTACTCTATTTCAACACAGATTACTTAATCTGTTCAAATACACAGTTTCGTGTCGTATAATATTTCATACAATTTACACATATTCTTTCATTTAAGAAGCGTATTAAATTGAAAGTTGATTTTTAAATTATACTCCACAGCTATCAATAATATGCAATATACATGTACAATAAACTATAATTAATAGTTACACAATGTCGAGCATAAAGGTATGCGTTTTTCTGTTTATTTTACTATCGCTGTACGTATCGTTCATTTAAATTTGTTCTTTCGCTTTCAGGAGTTGCCGGAGTTGCAGGTCTTCAAAATAGTATTATTCTATTGCATAGTGATAATAGCCTTACCTGTCTTGCTATTCTTTGCTAGCAAGATCTTTATTTTTGATGGTACGACAGCAACAAACATTATCCGAATGCTCAATTCCATCAATCACATTTCAGCGTTCGACATCTACGAAATACAAATAAGAAAAGAATAATTTATATAAAAATTTACAGAAAAATTGTAACTAATTTCTTTCTCTATTGCTTAAATGTTACACCTTTTCAAGTTTTCTTTTTCTTTAGAGGTTAATTCCTGGCTTTTATGTACATTCGCAATGCAATTAGCGAACTGGAACTTAGCATTGCTCGATAGATAACATTTATGTGCCCCTTCGATCGGCATGCTTTGTACTGAAATATGTTTTTATACATTTTAGGTTTACTGGGGCTGAATCATGTGCCGAGCAATGTTTATTCAGCCGGTGTTGCGATCGTTGCGTTGCACCTGGCCCTGGGAGCTTTCATATACCGCGCGTATTTCGACGACCAGTCGAAAACACAAACGAAGCGAGATTAATCCTTCGTTCGCGTTACAAAAATGTAATTAATTACAACCTTCTTGATAACACATTTATTCGCGTATACTTATCGAAAGAAGGATGTTACATTATCTTCCCACACTTCTTTGCCAAATGTTAGGTAATATTTCTTCGTTTTTTTTTTTTATCGGATATCGTAAACTATGTAGATTGGGCGCGTAAACCTGCGCTGTGTATCGGCCGATGCGATATAACTGCTAAATAAAAAAAAAAGAAGCAAAGACATTCCCCACACAAAAGTTGCATATTGTACAGCGCAAACGTTTGTAACATACATACATCTATGTAGAATAGAATTCCATCGCATTCTATTATTATATTCAATGAATTTTTTAACAGATCTGTTTTATAGCGCCTCTATATGTTATACCGGATGGATAAATTAATTTCAGCGCACTTTGTAATCACAGTATTACGACGATCAGGGGCGAATTTGTAACATATATATATATATAGCTTTAGGCTGTTTGTAGCGTTTGTACCTTCTCAACAAAGTAGAATAATGTATTACAAAAGCGCTTAATACAAATCCGCCCCTGATGATACTGTATACCATACTTAATTTTTTCTTCCTTTTTTCTATGTAAAATAAATACAATGAATTGTGATTAATATACAAGGTAACAATACTATTCATTTAATACCAATGGAAAACAGTACCTTAGAAAAAGTATAAGATTCTTACATTACCGACCGATAACTTCTTTACCGACCGATAACTTCTTTACCGGCCAACACTTACCGACCGATAGCGTATTAGTCAACTACTTTACCGACCGATAAAGTCGGCAAAGTGTTAAAAGGCTGTGATCCGCTTCGAATTATTTCTGTTGTACGGAATTGAATCAAAACAGGGGGACATTTTCTCATTACGAAAGGCTACGAATTATGTACAACGTTATACATCTAACTAGAATTTCGTTTTTAGAAATTTCGTATCATCAAAACTTCCGTTTATAAAATGTACATAAATTTTAATCTGTAGCCCCGGTTACACACACGCCACTGAGATGGTACCGCAAAGCAAATCCTGTAACAAGCTTTCGACGAATTTCATTAATGAAATATTAATTTATTTAAGTATTATAAATGCAACAAAAAGTTCGTGTGACAGGATATTTCGCTGTCGGCCTAAGGAAGTGTTGGAATGAATGCTTATTGTATCATTAAATACATAAGATCGCCAGCGACATTAACTACTTCACAATTTAATTTAGTTCATTAGTTCTAACTTAGCGTCTCTCCTAAATATTATAGCTCGCAAAAGTATTAGATCTTTTCCACCGGCAATCGAATCGAGAGATCTTCTTCGAAAGGACTCCAGTGATTAAAATTTTGTTACACTTCAACGGTACATTAAAAGTTGAAGAATTTTTCGATTAAATATCTTTTCGGAAAAAATAGGGCGACGTATTTTTGTTTTAAACACCGTTCTCGGTGGTTTATTTTGCATTAAAATGGAAAATGTACAAATGTGGCAAAGAAAATTGTCATTCTTTTATACTTAAACTAACACCAAGGGATAACAACACCTTTAAGAGAAATTTCTTATCTAGCATTCTCAGTTACGTGTCAAATTTTATAACATTTATTTATTGAAATGGAATAACGTTCGTCAAAGTAAAATGGAACAAATACACAGGCTCGTGGCCTGAAAAAATTTCTTCAATTTTCAACATACTTTGTATCGAACGACACTTTGCCCTTAAATATGTCAACTTATCACATCGATAACAGTGAAAGGAGAGAAAAAGAAAAATCAATCGCGTGTGCCAACGAAAACGTTTCAGGTGCTTCTGTGGCATGATAAAGATGGCTTATATGATGAAATAATTTTCATTATTTTAATCATGATAGATTTAATAGTATTAAAACATAGGAAATGGGATGACTGTTACTCAAGGTCCATCTCTTCTTCCGCTGGTTGTTGTTGATTGGCCTGAGGATGACCGTCGCCTTGACTGTTTTGATTGTTCTTCTGATCTTCGTTAGTTTTATTATCTTTTGGTTGTTTCTCTTCCTTTGGGACCTCGACTTTCGGTTTTGGTTTATTTAGAATTGGAAATACGATATTATCCAACGACTGCGAAGCAAGAACGAGTATTAATAAACTGTTTTACCGACCAACACTTACCGACCGATAGCGTATTGATCAACTGTTTTACCGACCGGTACCGGTCGGTAAAGTGTTAACAAAGATGATTACAGTACTTCGTGTGCATTAAATACCTGTTTTTCTGCGCGCAATTGTGCTACGGTGACTGGTGGTTGTTCCGTACGGTCTGTGCTAGCAAGAAGTACACGTTTCTCTTCGAGCCATGCCCATTTCTCCTGTACAGTTTTCTCAACCTTCTTCACCTCTTCCTCCGTCAAGTGAGAATATTTATCATCCTTTCCACTGGACGCCTTGATCAGATCTAGTCCTTTTTTAGCTAGTTGTAAAGCCCCCGCCAACTCTTCCAGCGCATGATTTCTTCCTTCGAACTCCATTCGCCTTTCTTTGATCGGTTCACCTTGGGACTGATAACAATAATAAATACATTATTTCAAGTTACAAACATCATATTTTACCTTATACAAAAACTGATTATAGGTTACGTACTGATTTTACATTATTTAAATATCGAATAGAAATTAAGCACGACTCACCTGAAGGAGTGACAACCGTTTCGAATAAACTTCTTGATGACAATCTTGGCCTTCCTCGTAAAGCCAGATTTCTGTCTCCTCCAACATACGACAAAGTGCTTCTTTGTTTGCTTCCGTAACAAATGTAGCGAACTGATCTTCCTCTGATAGTTTAGCGCGTAAGTCGTAAACGTATTCTTCCAATGCGTTGCGAGCATCGACTCGTTCTTTCTCTTGTCTATCTTCAGCAATCATTTTACTCTAAAATGTACGATCAATATATAAAAACTTGGTTGAAATGTGTACGTGTATCACAATTGCTATTGCAACGTACCTCTTTCTCCACTGCGTTATCCAAGTCGCGTTGAGAAAGTCCACACGAATAGGATTCCACTGGTAAGTCGATAGTACGAATAGGAATTTTCTTTTTACCTTTACCATCTTCACCCTTGTCGTCTCCCTAAAAAAGAGAAGAGAAAAAAACGCAATATAATACGTAACACAAATTGATAATTAAATTTAATTAGTATAAGCTTGTTTATGAATAACTTTACTGTCGCATACTTTTTTTCTTTTTCTTATGTAAACGTGTGAAACATATGTACAAAATGCTTAACCCCTTACGCTGCATGAATTCTTCTTGTAAATAGAAAAAAAAGTTCTTTTGTTTGTAGACACTAATAATTACAAGCTCAACATATAAAATAAAGATAAATTCATGCTGAAAAACAAATATATACTACGCATTAATTGTCCAACGTTAAGTTCTTTTCGAATGACGAAGGTGAAAGAATAAAATGGACAAAAATTATTATATATATGGTAAGGGGTTAACGTCGAAAGACGAAGCGAATCAAATTTCGCAGTTTTGTACATTAATTTTGAAATTATTGATCGTTGTTGATGTAACTTAAAATTACAACGTATAAAAGAAAGATAACAATGCCCACGTATCGACAAAAGAAATATTTGATGCGAAACACATGTATTTAAATTGGAAGGTAGGTAATAATGGGAGAAAGTGGGGGATATTTTTATGCGAACAGTTTTCAATTCGTGGGTGCTCTAAATTTCAAGTTTTCGAAGCGTTGAGAAGGAAAAACTATATGCACGCATAGAATATTGTTGAAATTATTGGCACGAATGGAAAACCGAACCGCATTGCCTGCCTTCACAATTTTGAGGTATCGATAATTGTTCCGTTACTAAAAATTACTGTCTCTTTTCCTTCCTTGTTTATGAATAATTTTACTGTCGCATACTTTTTTTCTTTTTTTTATGTAAACGTGTGAAACATATGTACAAAATGCTTAACCCCTTACGCTACATGAATTCTTCATGTAAATAGAAAAAAAAGTTCTTTTGTTTGTAGATACTAATAATTACAAGCTTAACATATAAAATAAAGATAAATTCATGCTGAAAAACAAATATATACTACGCATTAATTGTCCAACGTTAAGTTCTTTTCGAATGACGAAGGTGAAAGAATAAAATGAACAAAAATTATTATATATATGGTAAGGGGTTAACGTCGAAAGACGAAGCGAATCAAATTTCGCAGTTTTGTACATTAATTTTGAAATTATTGATCGTTGTTGATGTAACTTAAAATTACAACGTATAAAAGAAAGATAACAATGCCCACGTATCGACAAAAGAAATATTTGATGCGAAACACATGTATTTAAATTGGAAGGTAGGTAATAATGGGAGAAAGTGGGGGATATTTTTATGCGAACAGTTTTCAATTCGTGGGTGCTCTAAATTTCAAGTTTTCGAAGCGTTGAGAAGGAAAAACTATATGCACGCATAGAATATTGTTGAAATTATTGGCACGAATGGAAAACCGAACCGCATTGCCTGCCTTCACAATTTTGAGGTATCGATAATTGTTCCGTTACTAAAAATTACTGTCTCTTTTCCTTCTGCGACCCAGTGAAAAGAACAACAGAGCAAAGACAGACAGCACGGCGTGACACAGCTGTACCTTGGACCCATATGCATAAAAACAGTTATTACGAAATCAAATTATGCATATTCTTGCATCTATGAATATATCGAAATATCATTTTCTATCTGATTGGAATTAACTACTTTAGTTCAGTTAATATTTTTTTCATAGTTATCCGAGTTTGCAGAAGAAATCGACACAGACTTAAGAACCCTGAATATAACTAAATGTCATGCACTAAGAGAACTACGATAAGTAACAAGCTTCTATAAGTGACGCATAAATTGCATTGCGCATTTTATGCTTTTATGTCCTTAACATTTAAACGAACTGAAATAAACAGAAATGACGGAAGTTGATTTACTATTTTATGCTTTTAACGCAACTTAATGATACATGTTTGTCTTTTTTTTTTTTCTTAAATAAAAAAGGAACAGATATCAAATATGGATGTATCGGTGTAAAATTGCAATACGTAGTTATTACAATCATGCAGGATATTTGTATTTGACTTAAACCGCAATGATCTTAGAACAGATGACTGACGATGCTGACGTGATGAAAGAAATAAAAGGTCTATGTCATCTTTGCGCATAAAAAGGTATTCGTGTTAAGAATTACAACAATGCAATGATCTAAGGCGTATGTCAGAAATCATTGCATGTGTTTCGGTTAACATATGCATATGGGTCCAAGTAATGATAGTGTGTCGCGTACCGAGCTGAACCAAGAGCGAATCCTGGAGGAGTAGGAAGGGGCACAACCCCTCGAACCTCTTCCACCATCATCAGCATTTGAGTTCCGTCGTGTTTTATCCATGCTCACCTAAACCACAACAAACTCACATAGTCATGCACCAGACACTCATAAAACATATGAATTTTGTACTTCTATAAAAATTTCTTTCGAATAGAATGGATCTGGTGATTTTAATTCGCACTTATTTGCTACTTGAGTTTTCATTTAAACCTTGGACGAGTAAAATCTCAGCTCAATAGTAGAATTTGCATTATCGTTCGGTCAAAGGTGAACAATATCAACGGAATACATAGACAGCGTATCTTACCCAAAATCGAGTAAATATCTTCAACGATTCTGATGATATAGAAATATTTCATTTTTTCCTGCGGGAGTTCTCAAGATTACTCATATTTTTTCCAGATATGTAACGATAACCTTGAATTGATCTTTGACACTAAAAATTACAATAAAACGAAATTTGTATCTATCTAAATTGCAAATGCAAACAACGTCTGGGAATTCTGTGAATGCGATTAAATGTTTCGTATAGAAATGGTGCGAAAACTTCTGTTAGAAAATTAAGCATCGTCTGGATTTTCATGGAGAAGATTTTGAAAATGGTAAATCATTTCTTGAAAGAAAATTGTTCGCTGATGAGGCATTGCCCATCAATCACATTGAGAAATATGAATTACTGGTCCGTAGAAAACTGAAATGGTTAACACATTACCGACCGATATTAATCGACTGTTTTACCGACCAACACTTACCGACCGATAGCGTGTATTAATCAACTGTTTTACCGACCGATACACCGTGAATTGTGAATGTTTGGTGTGGCATCTTGAATGATCAGACGATTGGTCCTTATTTTATAAATGGAACATTAAATGGAGCGAATTACGCAACATTCTTACATAATGAGTTACAAATGCTTCTGATGTACTATTAGACATAATAATATTCATGGAAGAATGGGGTATCAGCACGATTATCGAATTTTAAATAAAAAATTTCCAAATTACCGGACTGAAAATCATGAAAATGATTTTGTGTACGGGACCATTTAAAACTAGTTATTTTCAAGACCAAACTTCCTAGATAATACCTAATCGAGTACTATTTAGAATATGAAATAATTGTTTCGTCTGCACAGTTTGCGAGTTGGACAAAAATTTAGTTTCGTTGGAATTTTCAAAGTCAACGGTCGATTTAAGGTTATTGCACATGTATTATTTGTTACACGATGCAGCGAAATAAAATACACTCATATGTAAAAAAATATCAGCACGATTGCTCAGCTCATTCATCTTGCAAAATAAATTTTAAATGCAAAATTTCCAAATTACCGGACTGAAAATCATGAAAATGATTTTGTGTACGGGACCATTTAAAACTAGTTATTTTCAAGACCAAACTCCCTAGATAATACCTAATCGAGTACTATTTAGAATATGAAATAATTGTTTCGTCTGCACAGTTTGCGAGTTGGACAAAAATTTAGTTTCGTTTGAATTTTCAAAGTCAACGGTCCATTTAAGGTTATTGCACATGTATTATTTGTTACACGATGCAGCGAAATAAAATACACTCATATGTAAAAAAATATCAGCACGATTGTTCAGCTCATTCATCTTGCAAAATAAATTTTAAATGCAAAATTTCCAAATTACCGGACTGAAAATCATGAAAATGATTTTGTGTACGGGAACATTTAAAACTAGTTATTTTCAAGACCAAACTTCCTAGATAATACCTAATCGAGTACTATTTAGAATATGAAATAATTGTTTCGTCAGCACAGTTTGCGAGTTGGACAAAAATTTAGTTTCGTTGGAATTTTCAAAGTCAACGGTCGATTTAAGGTTATTGCACATGTATTATTTGTTACACGATGCAGCGAAATAAAATACACTCATATGTAAAAAAATATCAGCAAGATTGCTCAGCTCATTCATCTTGCAAAATAAATTTTAAATGCAAAATTTCCAAATTACCGGACTGAAAATCATGAAAATGATTTTGTGTACGGGACCATTTAAAACTAGTTATTTTCAAGACCAAACTCCCTAGATAATACCTAATCGAGTACTATTTAGAATATGAAATAATTGTTTCGTCTGCACAGTTTGCGAGTTGGACAAAAATTTAGTTTCGTTGGAATTTTCAAAGTCAACGGTCGATTTAAGGTTATTGCACATGTATTATTTGTTACACGATGCAGCGAAATAAAATACACTCATATGTAAAAAAATATCAGCACGATTGCTCAGCTCATTCATCTTGCAAAATAAATTTTAAATGCAAAATTTCCAAATTACCGGACTGAAAATCATGAAAATGATTTTGTGTACGGGACCATTTAAAACTAGTTATTTTCAAGATCAAACTTCCTAGATAATACCTAATCGAGTACTATTTAGAATATGAAATAATTGTTTCGTCTGCACAGTTTGCGAGTTGGACAAAAATTTAGTTTCGTTTGAATTTTCAAAGTCAACGGTCGATTTAAGGTTATTGCACATGTATTATTTGTTACACGATGCAGCGAAATAAAATACACTCATATGTAAAAAAATATCAGCACGATTGTTCAGCTCATTCATCTTGCAAAATAAATTTTAAATGCAAAATTTCCAAATTACCGGACTGAAAATCATGAAAATGATTTTGTGTACGGGAACATTTAAAACTAGTTATTTTCAAGACCAAACTTCCTAGATAATACCTAATCGAGTACTATTTAGAATATGAAATAATTGTTTCGTCAGCAGTTTGCGAGTTGGACAAAAATTTAGTTTCGTTGGAATTTTCAAAGTCAACGGTCGATTTAAGGTTATTGCACATGTATTATTTGTTACACGATGCAGCGAAATAAAATACACTCATATGTAAAAAAAAGTATCGATAACCTTGTAAATTCCAGCAAAAAAAGAAAGAAAAAAGAAAAATGTTTTCAACGACATACTCAACTCTCATTATCACTCAAATTGCATATAAAATATTTTCCATATCATCAAAGTCGATGGAGATATTTAGGTGTCTTACGTTAGGTTAGACACCCTGTGTATGTGTATATACATACTATTTAAATCGCAATATCATTCGAATATACCCATTCTTGCATAAAAGTTAATTGAAAATAGTTCTCCATGTGCATAGAATTATTTATCTTTCTTGAATAAACGAAATCATTACGTACCTCAGGTGCTGGTGGTTCGTTGGCCTGCGCTTCTTGATCAGGCTTATCCTTTTTATCTTGCTGCTGATCCACGTCCATGTTATTCTGTTGAGTTTGTTGTTGTTGCTGCTGCTGTTTCTCCTCCTCTTCTTTTTCTTTTTCTTGTTGCGTGAGTTCACGTTTCTCGATCAGCGACGCGGAAATAACAGTGAGGATTCCATTCAAATTAACCCTAACCTTCACTTTCACTTTCGATGATTCACCTTCCGGCGTCGGTTTAATATTTTTAATTACAAACACACCTACAAAAAGATATTATTAACAAATTACCGACCGATAGCCTACTAATCTTCTTTACCGACCAAACGCTTATCGACCGACAGCGTATTGATCAACTGTTTTACCGACGAACGCTTACCGACCGCTACCGGTCGGTAAAGTGTCAAGTATACAAGGATATTACGAGTTACTAGAAAATAAAAATCACGTGCATACCAATGTGTGTTTCGGGATACGACTGTGGCGGTGTACTGTAGCTAGCAGTGAGTGAAAATGGGCTTGATCGATAAAATGTCAACATCTTCGAGAACGGTACAGGATGATTGTGTCCAAAAATCTCCATCTCACTAAAATAATAGGTATCATAAAATTTAAAAAAATTTCAACGCTTAAATATAATTAAGAGGCTTTTCTACCTGTCCGAGTAAAAAAAATCAATTTTGTATTAATATTTTCTGGAAGATTAAAGCATTCGTAAAAAATCAAATTTTTCGTTCAACGAGGTAGAAAAGCATTTTTGAACAACATGTAAATGTCGAGGTTAACGTACCCTTCTTCGCCTTGATTAGCATCCCATGTTAGTTTAATTGAATATGGTTGAATGTCGGTCACTGCAAAGTCACGGACTCTAACTGCAGGACTTAACATTGCGCACTGTAGCGCGCATCCACGAGCAACAGCTTCATCTTGATTCAGTGTCGTGGACCCGGTACGGCCAAACATTTCCTCAACTATTCGTTTAATAGCGGGAACACGGGTAGAACCACCCGCTAATTCAATCGAATGTACATCATCCAATTTTAGTTCTACAAAAAAAAAATATTACGAGTTGAGAGATTTACTGTTTTTGAAATTTATAGAAAGCGAAACGTACTAGAATCTTCAAGGCACTGCCGCAAAGTTGATTCCACGCGTTTGAATAAATGCGCGCACATTCCCTCCATGTCAGCACGTTTCAAGTCACCGTGTACATCTTTCTCATCCATGAAACACTCGATATTAAGAGGAAGCGTCGTTGAATTTGCTGACATTTGTTTCTTCAACTTTTCCACCTCTCCTAATAACCTTAAGTATGCACGCGGATTGGTGTGCGCATCGATATTGTAACGAGATCGAAACTCTTTACAAAAGTGTTCTGCTAAAATAGAGTCTATATCTCTGCCACCTAATTGACTGTCCGCTGAACTTGCTAACATCTGCGAACAATATTTATGAAATATATTTCTTGAAATTAACTTTCAATTCAGAAGTTTAATTTAGATTGATTCTTGTTACTGACCTTCAGTTTTCCTTTGTGGAACGCGCAAATGCTCACTTGTAGGCTGGCGTATCCACAATCGACAAATACTACATTTCTTGGGGGCGCATCGGACGATGGTAACCCTTCTTTGTAAATACCGTAGCACAAAGCGGTAGCAGTTGTTTCATTAAATAATCTAAGAACGTTTAAATCTGCGATCCTTGCAGCGTCGAGCAATGCTTGACGTTCAGCTTGTGTGTAATAAGAAGGAACGGAAATGACACAATCATTAACGACAGTTTGAAGAGCAACCTCGGATATATCTTTTAATTTTGTGAACAACATCGCAGTTATTTGTTCCGGTGTAAATATGTGCTTTTCTCCCAAGTATTGTACCTGAAATTTTGTCAACGAATGTAAACAAAACCTTTATCATTAATCATTACCATTGTTACGATGTATGATCTATTAATCACAGGCGATATGATTCATCGTGTTTTAACTGCTCTATAGAGATATAAATAAGATACGAGACTCCATAAACGTGAGAAACCTGGCAAAATGCCAAGATTACTATTGAATTTAGTCACATTAAAAAGAACATTAATAGCATATATCTTAAACGGGATCTAAATAACATTAAAACAGCACAGAATAATTACAAAGTTGTTCTTTGGTATGTATCATTATAATTATTTTATAATACTGCGTTGAAAGTTTCTAATATCGACAAACGTTATCGGAAGACACTAGAATTGTGTTAAAAACTTACATGTATACCGATACCCCCATCTGGCTGCTGAGTTACCGTGAAAGGTAACATTTGAATCTCTCGCTGTACTTGCGGGTCGTTAAACTTCCTACCCAATAATCTTTTGAATCCAAAAATAGTGTTTTTCATATTGGTTACCATTTGATTCTTGGCGGCTACGCCAAGAATTCGATTTTTCCAACTAAATGCTACGCATGATCTAGAACCAAGTTATTAGTTCCAATATTAGTGAAATTTGTGAATAATTTTTAGCTTACAGGCTAAAACAATGATTATTTTACCATGCACAGGCATGCGTACACGTTACGTTGATCAAACTATGTTTCAACTACTATTTTATGTATATTAGACGAAAAGAATGATGAGAAAAAGTTGTTTATCGTTCGTACACGTCTTTGTTTTAAAATAGAGGTATCCGAGGTCATAAAATGAGGTTACTAAAAACTATAATGATTATTTTACTATGCACAGGCGTGCGTACACGTTACGTTGACCAAAACTATGTTTCAACTACTATTTTATGTATATTAGACGAAAAGAATGATGAGAAAAAGTTGTTTATCGTTCGTACACGTCTTTGTTTTAAAATAAAGGTATCCGAGGTCATAAAATGAGATTACTAAAAACTATAATGTAAAATTAATCTTGAAGTATCGTTTAATTTACCAAAATCATTGCTTAACCCCTTAACGAACCATCGAGTTTATTCGAACGCGTTAAACTAGCTAAACCGTGGACGCTCGAGATAATTAGAGCTGCGTTGCATTATACGCTGCTGTAATTGATCTTTTTTGGCCGGTTTTTTAAAAAAAAACTGTGCGTTAACCCCTCAACGTTCATGCCCCGAGTCTGACCGCTTTGAAAAGCAATATTTGTTGATCTAACGGTTCAAGGGACGATAATATTTGTTTTCCTTTGGATACGACATTGTAATTAAGGAAAACCGCAGTTTTAGAAACAAATTTGATAAAGAAAACTGATCGTTCTTGGTTAACCTGAAAACTATGAGCGTTAAGGGGTTAAGTTATATATCTATATATGTATACAAAGATCTCCGATATTGCAACGACTTACAATTAATACAAATAGCATAATATTTCTTAAAAAACTTTGTTGTTATCATTATCTGTGCATTTGGAATATTTTAAAACTATCGTGGAAGAAAATGAAATAGAACAAATGTGTTTCATTGCAAAAAATGAAATTAAACATATAAATTTCTAACTTTCGGATCATTTTTTTTTAAAAATCGAAATTTCTTTGTTCCTCGTACGAAGAATAAAAAGTGAAATATTGTTAGAATAAGAAAAAAAAAAAAAAATTTGATCCAAATCGTCTCGTAAACAAATAAGCTAATCGATCGCACAACTATGGACCTTTTTTGCGCTTAACGCGAAAGCGAGAATATCGAAATAGAGAAAACGTTTTCGAGATAAACGACACCGATAAAATAATCGCCCGCGAATTCTTATTGATGGATTCACGTGACATTCCATCGTTCGTTGTTTTCATCCCATTTCTGTTTTTTCTCGCCGTAAATTTCCACGGTAAGATTCGCGAATAGGTGAATACTCGAGGACCGGTGCGCACCGGCATCGGACACCGTTGGGCAAAGAATTAGCAAATGATCGTTCGAATAAAATTGACTCACGGTGTGCCCCGTAGACTGTAATCGTTCGCTATAGTTTCAATGCCGCCCGCGCGTGCTACGGCCACATAACAGCTCTCGTTGCCAAAGTCGATTCCGATCACGGACATAGCAGCCATGGCTGATAAAACTGGTTCGACGGTTTTCTTCACACGACACTGAACAAAGTCGTCGATCTTAGACCGTGAATTCGATGTTTGTCCTCGAGATTCGATATAAGAACGATCACACGAACGTTCCTATATTTTCCGTTTGTAATTAACAGTGAACGTTAAATTCACAAATCTCCCTTGTTTCTGGCCCCGATCACGCAATAGACTTGAACGAAATGCCCTCCGCACGGTGACTGTGATTACTTCCTTCTGCTAACTTCTGCTGCGAATTCACCAATCGTGGCGCTGCGGTGACCGGCTCCTATTGGCCAGACGGTCGCTCTGGAACATTCTGGAATTATGCGCCGTAGAAATCTTCTTCCGTGAATAACGTCTGCTTTCTCTCTCTCGGTCGGAAACCGACGGATCAATATGAAGCAGAAGTCACCAGAAATAAATTACCAGATCCGTAAATGAAAATCGGATCGTAACGATGAATTTTTATTTATATTCTTACAATTTTTTTTAGGTACACATTGTGGACGAGAACGATTGGTTTATATACCAATGTGTCGTGAAAACGAATTTTCATACGTTCGATAGAAATATACATTTTGCGATGATTTAAGTCCGACGAAATTGTATTTTGTATTTCAACGTTTTCATTTCCGTTGATATTGTATTTTACATTTATGTAAACTTCGTATTATCTATAAAATTGTTATTCATTGTATGGAAATACACGAAATATACTTTTAAACAAAAATTCGAGCTAAATGATTGGGATCACATTATTGAAATTTTCTAAAATGTTCGAATGATAGCTTTTCTTAAAATAACAGAATTAAAAATATATAGTTAATATAAATAATACGGTTCTAAGAAAAATTGGCAATTATTCAATGATTTTACGCATCGATAAGTTAGTAACAAGCAACGTTATGTAGTGTACTGATTCTCGAAAAGTCACATGGTTTGAACGCACAAGCATCTGTCAAATTTGTATAAAATGGCACGTTTATATAATTTGCGATTTAATTTAAGTATAAAAAATGCTAAAAATTCAAACGTTTTATTAAGTTTTATTAACCCAAATGTAAAGAGAATTAGCGAGTCGAGAAATATTCAGTATCAAAATGGTAGAGGTTATGTACAACTCTATTGGAGATTGAAAAGACATATCTATCCATTGTATAAATTATTAGTTATGTTTACGCCAAAGTATGTAAATTCTTCGTTAGTATTTAATACGTATAACGTTAACTATAGAAGGAAATATTACAAGAATTTAGGATTTATATTGAGCGGCTTTGGCCTGACCATAGCATTTTGCGAAGCATCTAATTTTAAACCAGGTATGTATCTCTTATGTTACAAAATGAATAGTAGTCTGTAACATCTCGTTATTCGTTAACAGAAAAGCGATTCTTTCGAGCAGTGCAGTACGACAATATCTCAGAATTAGAAAAGGTAAATACAAAGACTATTTTGTTATACATATATGTTACCGTGAATGACCGAAATTGGAGAATGTCAACATTCACCGGTGAATGTCAACAGATACCAAATACATAGGTGAAAGATCGAATATTTCATTACATTGTTGTACATTCGGACCCTCTCCGGTGTGTGTCGACAATCACAGATATGCTCTGGTGGAGGTCCAAAACAGAAGAGTCAAAAAACAAGCGACTGGCTCTCTCCCGCCAAATCCTTCGTTCTGCTCGGAGTCAATCAGCTTTGTCAGTCATATACAAGCTTTGATAACGCAAGCAACGTTTTCTTAATTTTTTTTCCGATACCCTAATTTATACTAAATGGATACTGCAGTAAATCGTGATCTTTTTCTAACCCAGACCTAACCCAGACTTAATTCAAACTTATTCCAGACCTAACCCAGACCTAACCCAAACCTAACCCAAACCTAGCCCAGACCTAACCCCGTTATCAGCAATGAATTGGTCTGGGTTAGGTCTGGTATAAGTCTGAATTAAGTCTGGGTTAGGTCTGGGTTAGGTCTGAATTTAGTCTGGGTTAGGTCTGGGTTAGGTCTGGGTTAGGTCTGAATTAAGTCTGGGTTAGGTCTGGGTTAGGTCTGGGTTAGGTCTGAATTAAGTCTGGGTTAGGTCTGGGTTAGGTCTGAATTAAGTCTGGGTTAGGTCTGGGTTAGGTCTGGGTTAGGTCTGATTTAAGTCTGGGTTAGGTCTGGGTTAGGTCTGGGTTAGGTCTGAATTAAGTCTGGGTTAGGTCTGGGTTAGGTCTGAATTAAGTCTGGGTTAGGTCTGGGTTAGGTCTAAATTAAGTCTGGGTTAGGTCTGGGTTAGGTCTGAATTAAGTCTGTGTTAGGTCTGGATCAGGTCTGGGTTAGGTCTGAAAGAAAAATTAGATTTTCTAATTAGCAAACTCGTCTTTTTAAGAGTAAATTAAGACCTAACCCAGACCTAACCCAGACCTAATCCAGACCTAACCCAGACCTAACCCAGACCTAACCCAGACTTATTCCAGACCTAACCCAGACCTAACCCAGACCTAACCCAGACTTATTCCAGACCTAACCCAGACCTAACCCAGACTTAATTCAGACCTAACCCAGACCTAACCCAGACTTATTCCAGACCTAACCCAGACCTAACCCAGACTTAATTCAGACCTAACCCAGACCTAACACAGACCTAACTCAGATCTAATCCAGACCTAACCCAGACCGAACTCAAATCTAATCCAGACCTAACCCAGACCTAACTCAAATCTAATCCAGACCTAACCCAGACCTAACTCAGATCTAATCCAGACCTAACCCAGACCTAACCCAGACCTAACTCAGATCTAACCCAGACCTAACCCAGACCTAACTCAAATCTAATCCAGACCTAACCCAGACCTAACTCAGATCTAATCCAGACCTAACCCAGACCTAACCCAGACCTAACTCAGATCTAATCCAGACCTAACCCAGACCTAACCCAAATCTAATCCAAATCTAATCCAGACCTAACCCAGATCTAATCCAGACCTAACCCAGACCTAACCCAGACCTAACTCAGACGCGAAAAAGTCACGTCACCCTTGTGACGTTTTATAGCGACTGAATTACGGGGAAGAAAATATAAATCTCCAACATGTTCAACACTCACCATTAGTGCATGGTGAATGTCAACATTTACCGGTGTAAGTCAGAAATAAGGGTGTTTAGCAAATATTTCGGACACACACTAAGCGACTATGTGAATGTTGACATTCACCGGTGAAAGTCGACATTCTCCAGATTTCGGTGTTTCACTGTAACATATATACTAATAATTAATAGGATTCTTGGTTATAGCTTTTGAAAGACGGCGTTAATGTAAATGCACGCCATGCATTGGGTTGGACGGCGTTACATGTCGCTGCTATCAACGAAAAACTAGAAGTATTGAAACTGTTGATAAAGAAAGGCGCAGACGTTAACGCAGCAGATGAGTTCGTCAATGTTTACAAAACTGCTATGGAAAAGGGGATACATTCTTTAGATGGTATAACTTGTAAATAGAAATTGTAATAATTATGTAATATAGTAATATTGTAATACATATATATCTTTTCAAAACTTTCAGTGCTCATGATAAGGGAAGAAGAATTTTCTGACCGTCTGAACAACAGAGCTACGTTTAAAGGTTTTACGCCATTACATTATGCAGTATTAGCTGATTCAGAGGCCTGCGTAAAAGCATTGCTAGATGGGGGAGCAAATCCAACGATAGAAAACGAATCTGGTCACCGTGCAGTAGAATACGCTAGGGACGGAAAGCTCAAAGAAATGCTAATGAAACATACGTTAAAATACGATGGAATAATGAAGGAAAAAGTATATATGTTCAAAGTTCTTCTACATAGTATTATTTTTCATCCATGTTTTTACTAAGTATTGTAAACAGGAAATAGAAGAACGCCGTAGGTTTCCAATAGAACAACGCTTAAAACAACACATTGTTGGACAGGAAGGAGCTATATCGATTGTTGCATCCAGTAAGATTTGTATTATTCAATAAATAAAACAAATTAAAATTGTGTAAAACTTTGTATGATTGTAGCTATCAGGAGGAAAGAGAACGGCTGGATCGACGAAGAACATCCCTTGGTATTCTTGTTCTTAGGTTCGTCAGGGATTGGAAAAACTGAATTAGCCAAGCAGTTGGCTGCGTACATCCATAAAAACAAACAGGATGGATTCATTCGATTGGATATGTCCGAGTATCAGGAGAAACATGAAGTTGCAAAACTAATTGGAGCGCCACCAGGGTATATATCATACTTATATCATATAAACTATATTACTTTTAAATATTACTTTATTTCAATGTTACGTGTAGATATGTAGGTCATGACGATGGTGGACAATTAACAAAGCTTCTAAAAAAATGTCCAAACGCTGTTGTGTTATTTGACGAGGTTGACAAAGCTCATCCTGACGTATTAACAGTTCTGTTACAACTTTTCGACGAAGTAACGTTACTTTCGTGATTTACATGTTGTATCGAAAATTCCATCCAAGTTGTCAGTATTAATTTCTTTTTAGGGAAGATTGACAGACGGTAAAGGAAAAACGATCGAATGTAAGAATGCGATTTTTATAATGACGTCGAATTTAGCGAGCGAAGTAATTGCAGAGCATGCGATACAGCTCAGAGAAGAAGCTGTACGTGCTTTGAATCTTAGACTCGATGCAAACTCTGACGAGGATCAGGCCCCGGAGCAAATCGAAATATCCCGTAACTTTAAGGATAAAGTGGTACGCATTAACTTGTCCGATGTGCATATGTGCATTGCGGTTTGCTTAATTTAAAACCACGCATTACAGGTACAACCTATATTGAAAACACATTTTCGAAGGGACGAGTTCTTGGGAAGAATAAATGAAATTGTTTACTTTCTACCATTCTCTCGGTCTGAGCTTATAAAATTAGTGGCCAAAGAATTGGACAATTGGGCGGTGCGTGCGAAAGAAAGACATTTGATAGAATTAAAGTGGGACAGAGAGGTTCTCTCGGTGTTGGCGGATGGTTATGATGTTCATTACGGTGCTCGTTCGATCAAATACGAAGTAGAGAGACGTGTTGTCAATCAATTGGCGGCTGCACACGAACGAGGCCAACTTGGTACGTATATTCCTACCTGTTAATAACCTATAATCACTTCGACTGCTTTATAACAATTCTGTTACATCTAGAAAAAGACTGTTGCGTATTACTTAAAGTTAAGTGGCACGAAAATGGTGCTCGTATAATATTATCGGTACGATCCAAAGGCGTAAAAACCTTTGTTGACATTGCGGACACTGATAACTTGATAAAGAATGTGAATTCTACGTTTTAATGTTACACACGATTATTTTGGTCGTACAGCTACGTTAAACAAAGAACATGTATTATATAGATAGCTTGATCTCGTAATACATACGTAAAAGAGATTTTGTAGTACAAGGAAACGTAACTACTCGCAGTAATATATGTATTATTTATGTATAGAAAGATAAGTATGTTGTACATGAACTTATTTTCGTAAAACAAAAATACTCTCGCACGTTATGTGTCGTACATAATAAAATGTTAAATAGAATTAAAAGAAGAACAACTTTTTTACCTGCGTCCTCGTTGTTGAAGATAGTTTGCAAAATGAAGGTTTAGGTTGGGTTAGGTCTGGGTTAGGTCTGGATTAAGTCTGGGTTAGGTCTGGGTTAGGTCTGGGTCAGGTCTGAATTAAGTCTGGGTTAGGTCTGGGTTAGGTCTGGGTTAGGAGTGAATTAAGTCTGGGTTAGGTCTGGGTTAGGTATGAATTAACTGGGTTAGGTCTGGGTTAGGTCTGGATTAAGTCTGGGTTAGGTCTGGGTTAGGTCTGGGTTAGGTCTGGGTTAGGTCTGGGTTAGGTCTGGGTTAGGTCTGGGTTAGGTCTGGGTTAGGTCTGGGTTAGGTCTGGGTTAGGTCTGGGTTAGGTCTGGGTTAGGTCTGGGTTAGGTCTGGGATAGGTCTGGGTTAGGTCTGGGTTAGGTCTGGGTTAGGTCTGGGTTAGGTCTGGATTAAGTCTGGGTTAGGTCTGGGTTAGGTCTGGGTTAGGTCTGGGTTAGGTCTGGGTTAGGTCTGGGTTAGGTCTGGGTCAGGTCTGGATTAGGTCTGGGTTAGGTCTGGGTTAGGTCTGGGTTAGGAGTGAATTAAGTCTGGGTTAGGTCTGGGTTAGGTATGAATTACACTGGGTTAGGTCTGGGTTAGGTCTGGATTAAGTCTGGGTTAGGTCTGGGTTAGGTCTGAATTAAGTCTGGGTTAGGTCTGGGTTAGGTCTGGGTTATTTTATTCTTTTATATATATATGTAAAAGAATAAAATAGATCCTTTCTCGGTAGTAATCTTCTGGATATCCCTAACCCAGACCTAACCCAGACCTAACCTAACCCAGACCTAACCCAGACATAACCCAGACCTAACCCAGACCTAACCCAGACTTAATTCAGACCTAACCCAGACCTAACCCAGACTTATTCCAGACCTAACCCAGACCTAACCCAGACCTAACCCAGACCTAACCCAGACCTAAACCAGACCTAACCCAGACCTAACCCAGACATAACCCAGACCTAACCCAGACCTAACCCAGACTTAATTCGGACCTAACCCAGACCTAACCCAGACCTAACCCAGACCTAACCCAGACATAACCCAGACCTAACCCAGACTTAATTCAGACTTATTCCAGACCTAACCCAGACCTAACCCAGACTTAATTCAGACTTATTCCAGGCCTAACCCAGACCTAACCCAAACCTAGGTCTGGGTTAGGTCTGGGTTAGGTCTGGATTAAGTCTGGGTTAGGTCTGGGTTAGGTCTGGATTATGTCTGGATTAAGTCTGGATTAAGTCTGGGTTAGGTCTATAGTAGAGAGACGTGTTGTCAATCAATTGGCTGCTGCACACGAACGAGGCCAACTTGGTACGTATATTCCTACCTTTAAATAACCTATAATCACTTCGACTGCTTTATAACAATTCTGTTACATCTAGAAAAAGACTGTTGCGTATTACTTAAAGGTAAGTGGCACGAAAATGGTGCTCGTATAATATTATCGGTACGATCCAAAGGCGTAAAAACCTTTGTTGACATTGCGGACACTGATAACTTGATAAAGAATGTGAATTCTGCGTTTTAATGTTACACGCGATTATTTTGGTCGTACAGCTACGTTAAACAAAGAACATGCATTATATAGATAGCTTGATCTCGTAATACATACGTAAAAGAGATTTTGTAGTTCAAGGAAACGTAACTACTCGCAGTAATATATGTATTATTTATGTATAGAAAGATAAGTATGTTGTACATGAACTTATTTTCGTAAAACAAAAATACTCTCGCACATTATGTGTTATACATAATAAAATGTTAAATAGAATTAAAAGAAGAATAACGTATATTATTCGTGCAACTTTTTCTTACCTGCGTCCTCGTCGTTGAAGACAGTTTGCAAAGTGAAACGTACGATTTTGACGGAAATAAGTGATTCTTTATTTTCAATCGAATCATGAAGATACATTACAAGAAAATATCGGTTATACGTCACATTTAGGATACATTGTACATTTGTTTTCTTTTACGACGTAACGAGAGAAGAGACATTCTCGAAAACGCTGTAAACCGCGTTTCTTTCTTCGATCATTTGTACTACGAGAATCATATTTCGACTTATCGATCGTTGACAACGCAACAAGTCGAAGCTTTTAACGTTTTCGCTCGTCGTGGAGTGCAGGACAAATTCAGGTCCGATAACAGAGGTCTGTTGATTTTAAAAACTATTCGACGCATCGATAGAACCTTCTCAAAATCAGCGTATAAAGTATCGGTGATAGAAGGACGATAGAAACTGTTCGTTTCGTACAGCGAGTCGCAGCCAAAATCGTACACCACCGTATGAAAATATGTTTCGTTCGAAAAAAGAGGTTTGAGGATGATTTAGAAAAAGAATAAGGCAGTTATATTATTGTAAATATTTCTGTATTTATTAACATAAAAAAAACAAAGTTACTGTAAAGGAAGAACGTTAAACAAAAGAAAATGAAGCAAACGACATTAGAGGCGCGAGAAATTTAAATTGTCGCGAAGAACTTTATTTTTTTTACGTTAACACTAGATTGCCCAAGGAAGTCATTTTGACTGCTTTTTAATTTCAATTAGAAAAACAATTATGTATATAATGACACAATTTCTTAGAATTTTGTGACTTTTTGCAGAACATATAAATGCGTTTATTAATAATTGTAGTTACCTCCTCCCTCCTTCATTTCCGGTATATGTGTTATACCTATATTGGTCAAAAGCAGTCATTTTGACTGCTTGGGAAATTTTAAATAATCAAATGACTCTTATTATTGAATTGAGTAAATTTCTTATATGACCAGTTCGACTCTGTATTGAAATAACAGTTTTCATTTTTTTTCGATTACCAACACATGATAACATACAAGTACATGATAAATTGTCGATTTGGGCGTACCTAACACAGACCTAACCCAGACCTAACCCAGATCTAATCCAGACCTAACCCAGACATAACCCAGAGCTAACTCAGATCTAATCCAGACCTAACCCAGACCTAACTCAGATCTAACTCAGATCTGAATTAGATCTGGGTTAGGTCTGGATTAGATCTGAGTTAGCTCTGGGTTAGGTCTGGATTAGATCTGAATTAGATCTGGGTTAGGTCTGAATTAGATCTGAATTAGATCTGGGTTAGGTCTGGTTTAGGTCTGGGTTAGATCTGGGTTAGGTCTGGGTTAGGTCTGGATTAGATCTGAGTTAGCTCTGGGTTAGGTCTGGATTAGATCTGAATTAGATCTGGGTTAGGTCTGGTTTAGGTCTGGGTTAGATCTGGGTTAGGTCTGGTTTAGGTCTGGGTTAGATCTGGGTTAGGTCTGGGTTAGGTCTGGATTAGATCTGATGTAGATCTGAGTTAGGTCTGGGTTAGGTCTGGATTAGTTAATAATCTAAATTATCTTAACCCTTTGCACTCCTATGTCGAGTGTGATTCGACATAAATTTTGATCTCAGGAGCACTTTCGTCAAGTCTCACTCGACATTCTTTCAAGTCCAAACCAAACAGATATCATACACTTGGAAATTACAAAATACAACAACAGTGTAAATAAAACACTTATTTTAACAGGTAAATTTCAAATAAAACACTTAAAAGCATTGTTCGTCAAGTCCCATTCGACATTTTTTCGAGTCCAAACCAAATCATACACTTGGAAATTACAAAATACTACAACAGTGTAAATGAGACCTAACCCAGACCTAACCCAGACCTAACCCAAATCTAATCCAGACCTAACCCAGACCTAACCCAAATCTAATCCAGACCTAACCCAGACCTAACCCAAATCTAATCCAAATCTAATCCAGACCTAACCCAGGTCTAATCCAGATCTAATCCAGACCTAACCCAAATCTAATCCAAATCTAATCCAGACCTAACCCAGACCTAACCCAAATCTAATCCAAATCTAATCCAGACCTAACCCAGATCTAATCCAGATCTAATCCAGACCTAACCCAAATCTAATCCAAATCTAATCCAGACCTAACCCAGACCTAACCCAAATCTAATCCAAATCTAATCCAGACCTAACCCAGATCTAATCCAGATCTAATCCAGACCTAACCCAGACCTAACCCAAATCTAATCCAAATCTAATCCAGACCTAACCCAGACCTAACCCAGACCTAGGTTTGGGTTAGGTCTGGGTTAGGTCTGGATTAAGTCTGGATTAAGTCTTGGTTAGGTCTGTGTTATGTCTGGGTTAGGTCTGTCTAGCAAAACGTATTAAACGATTAGATCAACATCACTATTATAGTCTTTCTAGTGTTAAGCAATATTCATTTCTTTCATCATCATTATACAATAAATACAGATATATTTACGATAATATGTCTGCCTCATTTTGTATTTCAAATCATTCCTAAACTTTTTTTTTTATAATGAAACATATTTTCACACGTGGTGTACGATTTTGACTGAGTCGCTGTATGCCAACCAGGACACATGAAACTTCACACTCCCATAAATTTCTTCACAGCAATTACAAGTGCACTACCGACCTCAACGATATATCAACAACGTCGGAGAACAATAAAGAATTAGAATGAAATTCGCTGCTACAAGTTCGGTAAGTCGAACGAACAATTAATCATTCATCGTTCGTTTATTATTACAGGTTATGTCAGAAATTTTAAAAAATGAATCAAACAGCATCGTCTCCGTATGGTCGGTAGTGTGTATAGGAATGTTAAAAACGTGTTTGCATTAAACATCCAACATGATTGTTTATACGACACGATATACATATAAGAACATCTTTATAATAATATGTATATATATATATATTTTTAATATAAATACCATGTACCTTTTGTGGTACGTAGAATATAATAGAAATACTGTTCAAGTATAAATTAAGCGTACAATTCGGACCACGCTCATACAGTTAAGCGTTTCTTCCCAACGAGACTCAATAGTTTCCCATAATCTTTACGTTTCATGTAAACGTATCGTTATGTTTGTATTTATAATATACATATACATGATATATATTTAACATACTCAACGATGATCAACATTTAATTTATATACTCTTCGTTTCAGTTTCCATCTTTCTCGCCAACCAACCAGAAACATTTAGTCGCTGTAATACACGTACAAGAGCCTAAAGTATTTTATGATACGGCAGGTTCCTTGATCGAGCTCTTAAATTCAGAATAAATAGATCTAAGCTCCGAAGAATTTTTTCAAAATTATCAATATACATGTATATATATATGATATGACGAACTTTGGTCGGAAGTGTTCATATATTTTCATTTTTTACTCTTTCGTATAAATCAGACTTTTTTTTTTTTTTGCATTATCCTTGTACGTAATTGGTGTACAGTGCTCGGAGGAGAACGTAAAAAACGAGAGGCGTGTAACACGTGTTATCGCCTCGTAACAAGAAGCGTTATCTGAAGACTTCCGGTTCGCTCGATTCTGTTTTTAGTTTTTTGTTTATTTGCATTCTCTGTTGCTGCTGTCGGTTACATACTCGGCGAACAGTATTCGACATTTAATAACGATAACGGTGGCCAGGACTATACTTATTGGTGAAGAAATCGTTTCTTAGGCTTTCAAATTCACTGTGAACCGTCTTTCCTTGAGGTCAGTTTTGTTGTATAGTACGTTTAGGCTTAGGAAGTAGGTACATATGTATACGCGTATACCTCGTTTTTTTTTTTAGTTCGGACTGTAATAAAAAATCACCCGTTTGCTGGAAGAAAGTGTTCCTCCTTCGGCTTCCATTTTGTTTCTTTATCGAAAACGCGTCTTGTCTGGAAAATTTGTTTCAAGGAAAACACGGAACGGTCCCCTGTAAAGTGAAGCTTAGGTTGTCGCGACTGTCCGCCATTGTTACCAACTGTCGCGGTTACATAAGACACGACTTGGCCGATAGAAACAAAAATTTTAACCCGTAAAAAAAGGAACAAAATTCGTCTTTCTCACGAAGATTGGGGGGAAGAAATAAAAATGAAATGAAAAGGGCCCGTATAGGAAACAAAAATTTCGTAGATGGGGAATCGAAAGGGTATAGCCGAATAAGGGGGTGAAATGTGCCCTTGAACGAAATGTGACATACGATGGATCCATCGATAGAGCATCAAGAAAAAACGTTCTGTGCCAAATTTTAACCCTCTATCTTGTTTGGAAGGGTAGTTATTGAGAAAATTCGGATTAACGAATTTCTGCCTATTTTCCCTATTTAATCGAGTAGAAAAATTATGAAAAAAATCTGGTGCATTGTGGTTATTGAGATACGTGTTTGAGAATTTTTTCCGATTTTTCGATTCCAAATTCTAGGCGTGAAAAATTGAAAACGCAAAAAAACACAGAAAAATACGGATTTCGTATTGAAGCTTTCGAGACACTAGATTTATATAATTACTGTAAATTCGTATTGTCATTGGTTATCTCCCTGAATTTTTTCAGATTTTTTGGTAGGGTGCGCCGTCGTAGGAAAAATCAAAAACCGATTTTTTCGACGTTTTTCGCGTGAAAAAGCATCTTATACTTTGAAGTATAATTAGAAATATAATTATAAATGTTTAAAACCATACAATATAGTTATCTATTAAAGAGAATACAAAAATTCAAAGTGTAGGATGCTTTTTCACGCGAAAAACGTCGAAAAAATCGGTTTTTGATTTTTGCTACTACGGTGCACCATACTAAAAAATCTGAAAAAATTCAGGGAGATAGCCAATGACAATACGCATTTACAGTAATTATATAAATCTAGTGTCTCGAAAGCTTCAATACGAAATCGGTATTTTTCTGCGTTTTTGATTTTTCACGCCCAGGATTTGGAATCAAAAAATCTGAAAAAATTCAGGGAGATAGCCAATGACAATACGCATTTACAGTAATTATAGAAATCTAGTGTCTCGAAAGCTTCAATACGAAATCGGTATTTTTCTGCGTTTTTGATTTTTCACGCCTAAGATTTGGAATCAAAAAATCTGAAAAAATTCAGGGAGATAGCCAATGACAATACGCATTTACAGTAATTATATAAATCTAGTAGCTCGAAAGCTTCAATACGAAATCGGTATTTTTCTGCGTTTTTGATTTTTCACGCCTAGGATTTGGAATCAAAAAATCTGAAAAAATTCAGGGAGATAGCCAATGACAATACGCATTTACAGTAATTATAGAAATCTAGTGTCTCGAAAGCTTCAATACGAAATCGGTATTTTTCTGCGTTTTTGATTTTTCACGCCCAGGATTTGGAATCAAAAAATCTGAAAAAATTCAGGGAGATAGCCAATGACAATACGCATTTACAGTAATTATAGAAATCTAGTGTCTCGAAAGCTTCAATACGAAATCCGTATTTTTCTGTGTTTTTTTGGGTTTTCAATTTTTCACACCTAGGATTTGGAATCGAAAAATCGGAAAAAATTCTCAAACACGTATCTCGATAACCACAATGCACCAGATTTTTTTCATAATTTTTCTACTCGATTAAATAGGGGAAATAGGCAGAAATTCGTTAATCCGAATTTTCTCAATAACTACCCTTCCAAACAAGATAGAGGGTTAAAATTTGGCACAGAACGTTTTTTCTTGATGCTCTATCGATGGATCCATCGTATGTCACATTTGACCCCCTTAATCGGCTATACCCTTTATGGAAAGCCTGGCCAGCAAAATATTGATAGTGTGGGGGCAACAAAACACGATGGTGGTTTTCGTTTTCGTTTAGCGGTCTCGACAGTACATCCATAGAAGCGGTTTCACATATACAACATGGCTACTTTGTTTACATATACCGTTTACCGATTAATTTACCCTAGAATCTGATTGTGTGCCTGACTCCGCCATCGGGAGGGGGGAGTAAACGGGAGAAAGGGTACTCTCGATCGATAATCTAGTGCAAAGTGTGCCACATGGCGATGGTGTCCCTCGGCGATTGGGTCATGTGGAGCCAGTGCTCCCTTCCCTGGCTACCGTTGTACTCCGCCCCTGGTACAGCTCCTGTGGCAGGGCCGATAATGCAAGATCCAACGATTACGCTCCCTCCGATGAATTCGTTACTGGAGTCCATTACGCGTACCTTACGAACAATCAGTTTATTATTGGACATCGAACGGAATTACCAAAAACCATTATTACAGGGTGTACCAGCTAAAGTGCGACAGTCGCGATACTGCAATAACTATTGATGATACGGAAAAATTGTTTATATGAAAATTGCAGGATAAAATAGGATCTTTATTCTGGCGTAAACGAAAATTTTATTTATGTTATTAATTTCAAAGATACGACGATGAAGTTTCGTTTTTTAAATGGTGCTGTATATTTTTTTTTCGATCATGCGATAGTGTTTTTTAATACGAATTCATTGACCTGCAATTTATTTACCCGATTTTCATTAGTTTTCAAGATATAGCGCTTGGAAATTTTCATATAAACAATTTTTCACAACTGACGAAACGTTTCGATCCTGACGAAACGTTTTTTACTTTCTTTGCTGAGTTATTTCCTTTATGGCAAATAAAAACGCGACCATTTAGACCGGGGAAATTGATTGAGTTCCGTCCTGCGTTCAGCGCTGAAAGCAGCTCTTCCCACCCTTTGCAACACGTTTCCCCGTAGTACGTGCGATAGAATATTCATCGATCAGCAAACAATTCTAATATTTCGAGTTCGAGCCTTCTCGGTGCGATTCTCCGTCTGATATTCGAAAAATCCTCGTCGAACGGAAACCATTAAATATCCGGGGAGAGAAAAAAGAAAAAATGAACAAAGGATGAGAAGGAAATTACGTTCCGTGGCATAAAATTTTCAAATTAAATTTTTCTCGCGCCTTTTTCCCTTCTTTTTTAGAGAAACGTAACATCTGTCGATGGAATTGTGTTATGCATTTCGAATTTAAATAACAATTTCGCGACGTGTTCAATTGTAAATACGTTTATTCTACACGCGATATACAAAATGTATTGGCACAGAGCGTATTTTCAAATAAAATGTTACGTAGCTGTGAATAAAGTACGTCTTCTTTATTTTTGGTATAAAATATAAGTTTGAGGTTTGAACTTTAAGTATCACGCGAAACAAAGCGGTTAAGTAGACTTGTAACAATGAAAAATAGTAACAAATACACGGAGGACAGTTTTCGACGAAACAAAAGTATTGGCACTGGGTTAGGTCTGGGTTAGGTCTGGAATAAGTCTGAATTAAGTCTGGGTTAGGTCTGGGTTAGGTCTGAATTAAGTCTGGGTTAGGTCTGGGTTAGGTCTAGGTTAGGTCTGGAATAAGTCTGGGTTAGGTCTGGGTTAGGTCTGAATTAAGTCTGGGTTAGGTCTGGGTTAGGTCTGGGTTAGGTCTGGAATAAGTCTGGGTTAGGTCTGGGTTAGGTCTGAATTAAGTCTGGGTTAGGTCTGGGTTAGGTCTGGAATAAGTCTGGGTTAGGTCTGGGTTAGGTCTGAATTAAGTCTGGGTTAGGTCTGGGTTAGGTCTGAATTAAGTCTGGGTTAGGTCTGGGTTAGGTCTGGGTTAGGTCTGGATTAGGTCTGGAATAAGTCTGGGTTAGGTCTGGGTTAGGTCTGGGTTAGCTCTGGAATAAGTCTGGGTTAGGTCTGGGTTAGGTCTGGGTTAGGTCTGGGTTAGGTCTGGGTTAGGTCTGGAATAAGTCTGGGTTAGGTCTGGGTTAGGTCTGGAATAAATCTGGGTTAGGTCTGGGTTAGGTCTGGGTTAGGTCTGGAATAAGTCTGAATTATGTCTGGGTTAGGTCTGGGTTAGGTCTTAATTTACTCTTAAAAAGACGAGTTTGCTAATTAGAAAATCTAATTTTTCTTCCAGACCTAACCCAGACCTAACCTAGACTTAATTCAGACCTAACACAGACCTAACCCAGACCTAATCCAGACCTAACCCAGACCTAACCCAGACTTAATTCAGACCTAACCCAGACCTAACCCAGACTTAATTCAGACCTAACCCAGACCTAACCCAGACTTAATTCAGACTTATTCCAGACCTAACCCAGACCTAACCTAGACTTAATTCAGACCTAACACAGACCTAACCCAGACCTTTTAACCCTCCACTTACCCCCACACCGCAGGGCGGAACTGCTTTCCGCATTACTTCACCCCGCGGAGGTCACCAAGGAAGTCTTGGCGACAAATGGGCACACAAATGCCCACCGTCAGGAGAAGCCTGAGGGTGGGGTTTCATTCCAGGTCGGAGTTGCTCTTTCTTTATTATAACTCCCTCAGATTGCATTACAATATTCGAGTACATGTATGGTTTATCACCAAGAAAAAGAAAATAACAAGACATAGTATTAATAAAAAGTAATAAAAGAAAATAAAAAGATAAAGAAATAAATATAAGAATAAGGAAAATATAAAAAGAAAAAGTAAAATGAGATATAAGGAAAGTGTAACCAAATAGCGGTTGTAAGGAGACGTTTCTGTATTAAGGTACGCAGTATGTGCGTGTGTATAGGGTAAATAGTAAGTACGTCAATAAACTAGTAATAAAATACAACTAAAAGATGTATAGTGTCAGTAAAATAAATAATAAATAAATAAGACAGTAATAAGTCTATAAATAAAATAAATAAGTGAGTTAATAAATAATTTAATAAATAGTTAAATAAGTCCCTCAAATAAATAAGACAATGAATAAATATATATATAAATAAATACATAAATAAATAAATAAATAAATAAATAAATAATAAATATACAGGCGCCAACACCTAATATAATACCAGTACGGATCCTGGTGGGGTTGGGCTGATGTTAGGCCCGTCCTCTCCTCCACCCTCGTCTCTGTGCAATGTCCATCTCTTTTTCATACCGCAGACCTAACCCAGACCTAATCCAGACCTAACCCAGACCTAACCCAGACTTAATTCAGACCTAACCCAGACCTAACCCAGACTTAATTCAGACCTAACCCAGACCTAACCCAGACTTAATTCAGACTTATTCCAGACCTAACCCAGGCTTAATTCAGACTTATTCCAGACCTAACCCAGACTTAATTCAGACTTATTCCAGACCTAACCCAGACCTAACCCAGACTTAATTCAGACTTATTCCAGACCTAACCCAGACCTAACCCAGACTTAATTCAGACTTATTCCAGACCTAACCCAGACCTAACCCAGACTTAATTCAGACTTATTCCAGACCTAACCCAGACCTAACCCAGACTTAATTCAGACTTATTCCAGACCTAACCCAGACTTAATTCTGACTTATTCCAGACCTAACCCAGACCTAACCCAGTCTTAACCCAAATCTAACCCAGACCTAACCCAAATCTAACCCAGACATAACACAGACCTAACGTAGATATAACCCAGACCTAACCCAGACCTAACCCAACCAAGTCAAGCATTTGATTATCGAAGTAACTTGAATTTGATCAAACTTGAGAAAAATCAATCTTTACAAATGTTTGAACGACTCGATTGTTTACACAAAATGTGACAATGTATTAATCTATTGGCACACTTGTGAATTTAATGTTTCTATGAAACACTTGTGTAAATATTTATAATATTGGCACGACTGTTGTATCCAGGGAAGTCCCGAGATTCAATTTGGTATTCATTTGTTATTTCTGATGGAAGTTTGTCACACATCCCGGGTAGCGTGCGCCTGTGAGTATGCGCAGAGGAGTGTGCGCGAGTGAGAACGCGCGCATGAGTGTTGCGTCGCTTTCCACCGAGTTCGTTGCGTGGTCGTCGTGCGTTGTTGCGTGCACCAACATGTATCACTTCTGTATTGTTCATTATTATTAAACCGTTATATATATGTGGGTTCAGTACGTGTCGAAGAATGATTACAATGTAACGAGAGTGAATCGTAGTGCCGCGTGTAAAAGACAAGCTCTCGTTTTCGTGTGCCTTCGTTCCGCGAACGTTCGGCGACATTGTTGACTCAGCTGGCCCGACCGTTACGTTAACGGACAACGTGGACGAGCCGACGAGCTGGAGAAACGTTCGGCATCGGGCAATTCTCGTCGAGACGTAGAGAAGCGCACGTCGAAGCATTCCTGTAAATTATCGTTTGTCTTTCTTTCTGTTAAATATATTCGTTAAAATACCAACGGGTTTTTTGTCAATTACGTAATATTTTATTTGAAAATTTGCTCTGTGCCAATACTTTTAAGTCTTGTTATTTCTAACTATCGTCCATTTCGTATAAACGTGTTCCAAAATGAAACTTCTCGAGATAAATTGGCTGATTTAACGGTTGATAAATCGGCTATCGGCCGGTAAGCGTTGGCCGGTAAAACAGTTGATTGATAGCCTCTCAGCCGGTAAGCGTTGGTCGGTAAAACAGTCGATTAATAGGCTATCGGTCGGTAATGTGTTAATATTACTCTTTTTTATTGTAAAGAATTTCCTTCGTACCGCAACCATCTGTCTATTTTTCGTCTATTTTGCATTATAACATGGGAAATTAAAAAACAGAGCTTGAAATTTGCTTACCTCGATGGCGGACGACGCGAGAGAGCTTGCGGGGATGTCGAAGGACATTGGCTCGTTCCAAACAGGACTGGTGGTCGCTTTCTTCACCGTAGTCTTCTTTTTCATACGTTTCTCCCCGCAAAGAAGGTTCACCTTCACGAAGGAGTCTAGGGTCTCCTTTTCCTACATAACACAAATTGAAATGTGTGTCGTGACACATAAAATGAATAAGAACATTGAACTTATTTTACACCACCAATCTACCGATAAATAATACATTATATATTTATAAGATCGATAAGAAGATGTCACCTGCGGGGGAAACAGATTCCTCGCCTCCAAAATGACGACTTTCAATCGCTCGGCGCTTGGCAGGTAGGAAAGCGACAAGTGAACTTCTTGAATCTGCTCTCGAGGTTTTCGTTCGCGTTCGATCTCACCCCAAACTTCTTCTGAAGAGGTAGGGGAGTCTAATCTCAAGATATGTAGCGGTACTTTCACCGATCCCACCACGTCGTTCCTAGAAAATCGATCGTAATCCAGCACCTGTTGTACAAGACAAAAAGGTCCATTATAAATCTTAAAAAAAAAACAAAAAATTAATACACTAAGAGATCACAAATTCATATCAATAGCATCGATATTAAATTAACCTCTTAAAGTATAAATTATCAAAGTTAATACACATTTTACTCAGACTTAAATCGGCCATTTTTATTGAACCGTGAAACAGATACGCTAATGTGTGTCAAATCTAACCTCTTACGATTTACGATTTAATTCTAAATAATTTCTCAAATGTATGAAACTTAATTTTGGTTAAAATGGGCATGATAAGAATTTTTAGAAATTTAGAAATTTGTTTTAGATGATAAATATCAATAAAACGATCCTTTTTCTTTGCTTTCATATTGTTGTTTTCGATTCTCGACTGTATTTGAGTGTGAAAAATTATAGCAGCATATAATAGAACGCCGCTCGAATTATCTCGAGCGTGCACTGTTTGGCCAGTTTAGCGCGCTCGGATTAACTCGAGCGTGCGCGTTAAGGGGTTAAGAGTGATCGTGAGAGCTGTGATGTATAAGGTACAGGCGGAAGGCGCATGCGCGTGAGCGCATATAGAGAGGACAGCGCGTCAGTCGCAACGAGACGCGAGAACAGAGAACACGTGCGTCAGAGGCAGTTGCTGCGTATCTTGTGACTGTGATGTCTACAATAAGTGGTGGATTTATCCGTTTATGATTACGTTCATATTAAACAATAAATACCATAGCAGTATTCTCATCTAATATTAAAAAAATCTCGAATTAAACATCGATTTGATATATCTCCAATCAGAAATTTCTATGATTTATAGATATTCTCTTGTTTACTTGTTTCTGTTTTCCTCTGTTGTGCATTCAACGAGGTTTCGATAGGATGATTGTGAAATAAGTAATGTGTTAACACTTTACCGACCGATAGCCTATTAATCGACTGTTTTATCGGTCGGTAAAGTGTTACTTGCCTGCAGAATGAGGGTCTTGTCGTAGAGTTCGTCGTTGCTGACGGGAAATTTGAATTGTTGATTGAAGAAGGGGTTCGCCTCGTTGCGATATATCTGAGTTTGGCGTTTCCTCGAGTCCACCTCGGGCGTTAGGGTTAGTTTCACGTAAGGGTCGTTGAATCCACCTTGCTCGCTGCCAGCTAGATCGTGGGCCTCGATCAGGTGAACGTGTAGATCCGATCGATCGAAGTCGTACTTGAAACGCAGGTGCAATCTACCCAAACTCTTCCCGTGCCTAAAATTATCGTAAAATCACGCGTTTCTTTTGTTTAGTTTTTTTAGAATAAGTTCCATTGCTTGTATAATTGGAAATCAAGTTATAAATGTACCCTTGAACCAAATATGACACACGATGGATCCATCGATAGAGCATCGAGAAAAAACGTTCTGTGTCAAATTTTAACCCTCTATCTTGTTTGGTAGGGTAGTTATTGAGAAAATTCGGATTAACGAGTTTGTGCCCATTTCCCCTATTTAATCGGGTAGAAAAATTATGAAAAAAATCTGGTGCATTGTGGTTATCGAGATACGTGTTTGAGAATTTTTTCCGATTTTTCGATTCCAAATCCTAGGCGTGAAAAATTGAAAATGCAAAAAAACACAGTAAAATACGGATTTCGTGTTGAAGCTTTCGAGACACTAGATTTCTATAATTACTGTAAATGCGTATTGTCATTGGTTATCTCCCTGAATTTTTTCAGATTTTTTGGTAGGGTGCGCCGTAGTAGGAAAAATCAAAAACCGATTTTTTCGACGTTTTACGCGTGAAAAAGCATCTTATACTTTGAAGTATAATTAGAAATATAATTATAAATGTTTAAAACCATACAATATAGTTATCTATTAAAGAGAATACAAAAATTCAAAGTATAGGATGCTTTTTCACGCGAAAAACGTCGAAAAAATCGGTTTTTGATTTTTGCTACTACGGTGCACCATACTAAAAAATCTGAAAAAATTCAGGGACATAGCCAATGACAATACGCATTTACAGTAATTATATGAATCTAGTGTCTCGAAAGCTTCAATACGAAATCGGTATTTTTCTGCGTTTTTAATTTTTCACGCCTAGGATTTGGAATCGAAAAATCTGAAAAAATTCAGGGAGATAGCCAATGACAATACGCATTTACGGTAATTATAGAAATCTAGTGTCTCGAAAGCTTCAATACGAAATCGGTATTTTTCTGCGTTTTTAATTTTTCACGCCCAGGATTTGGAATCGAAAAATCTGAAAAAATTCAGGGAGATAGCCAATGACAATACTCATTTACAGTAATTATAGAAATCTAGTGTCTCGAAAGCTTCAATACGAAATCGGTATTTTTCTGCGTTTTTAATTTTTCACGCCCAGGATTTGGAATCGAAAAATCTGAAAAAATTCAGGGAGATAGCCAATGACAATACGCATGTACAGTAATTATAGAAATCTAGTGTCTCGAAAGCTTCAATGCGAAATCGGTATTTTTCTGTGTTTTTAATTTTTCACGCCTAGGATTTGGAATCGAAAAATCTGAAAAAATTCAGGGAGATAGCCAATGACAATACGCATTTACGGTAATTATAGAAATCTAGTGTCTCGAAAGCTTCGATACGAAATCGGTATTTTTCTGCGTTTTTAATTTTTCACGCCCAGGATTTGGAATCGAAAAATCTGAAAAAATTCAGGGAGATAGCCAATGACAATACGCATTTACAGTAATTATATAAATCTAGTGTCTCGAAAGCTTCAATACGAAATCGGTATTTTTCTGCGTTTTTAATTTTTCACGCCCAGGATTTGGAATCGAAAAATCTGAAAAAATTCAGGGAGATAGCCAATGACAATACGCATTTACGGTAATTATAGAAATCTAGTGTCTCGAAAGCTTCGATACGAAATCGGTATTTTTCTGCGTTTTTAATTTTTCACGCCTAGGATTTGGAATCGAAAAATCTGAAAAAATTCAGGGAGATAGCCAATGACAATACGCATTTACGGTAATTATAGAAATCTAGTGTCTCGAAAGCTTCAATACGAAATCGGTATTTTTCTGCGTTTTTAATTTTTCACGCCCAGGATTTGGAATCGAAAAATCTGAAAAAATTCAGGGAGATAGCCAATGACAATACGCATTTACAGTAATTATATAAATCTAGTGTCTCGAAAGCTTCAATACGAAATCGGTATTTTTCTGCGTTTTTAATTTTTCACGCCCAGGATTTGGAATCGAAAAATCTGAAAAAATTCAGGGAGATAGCCAATGACAATACGCATTTACGGTAATTATAGAAATCTAGTGTCTCGAAAGCTTCGATACGAAATCGGTATTTTTCTGCGTTTTTAATTTTTCACGCCTAGGATTTGGAATCGAAAAATCTGAAAAAATTCAGGGAGATAGCCAATGACAATACGCATTTACAGTAATTATATAAATCTAGTGTCTCGAAAGCTTCAATACGAAATCGGTATTTTTCTGCGTTTTTAATTTTTCACGCCTAGGATTTGGAATCGAAAAATCTGAAAAAATTCAGGGAGATAGCCAATGACAATACGCATTAACAGTAATTATAGAAATCTAGTGTCTCGAAAGCTTCGATACGAAATCGGTATTTTTCTGCGTTTTTAATTTTTCACGCCTAGGATTTGGAATCGAAAAATCGGAAAAAATTCTCAAACACGTATCTCAATAACCACAATGCACCAGATTTTTTTCATAATTTTTGTACTCGATTAAATAGGGGAAATGAAATTCAGCCAGAGGTGGTTCAAGAATAATAGTTTTCATTTCTATTTCAAATACTTGATTAGTGGCCATTTTTTCACGATCGTCGAACAGTCAATTGTATATTCCACGATAAACACGAATTTACTGTCCAATTACACAGACATTTTGCACTCTAATTACTAGACGCAGCAGCTCGAAGCTTTAACGTGCTTCCTAGTATTGATCAAAGGATTAACCGTCAGCGTGTCTCACGTTCGGATCGCATAAAATCACTGGCTTTCGTATTCGATTGCCGTATATCCGGTAATTTAATCCTTTTTGATACTATGTGTGCATTCAGACGGGAATGGATCGACATTTATGTAGGTCAACGTATAATACTTTGCCCAAAGTGAACGTAGCGAATGAAAATCACCGGTAAGATCAAATTTTCTGTAAAAATTCTCAAGAATAGCGTACATAAAGATAATATTAGGAACGCTGTACAATTTGGTCTTAAAAGGATATCGATATTATCATTAACTATCATTAGGTATTCCTTAAATAACCTTTTGTTCGACAATTATTAATAATAACATTATAATTGAATGTCTGTGTCATTAATAATAACATTAATTTATAATAACTTATCATAAACACAATATTATTATACGTATTTGTAATAAAAATAATACGAAAGTAATCCTCAAACATTTTCAAAATATCAGATTGTTTTCGATCATATAAAATACACGAAAATATAGTTAAATATTTTCTTGTGTGACTTTTTAATCATTTTGGGAACGAAAGAAGTAAGACAAGCTGTTATACGAATTTATTAAAATGGAATCGAGAATGTCTCTCGTAATTTCAAAAAGATATAAAGATATTCGATGAAAGTTCTCTGCGACAGAATTAGTGAAACATCCTATTGTCTGTATTACATGTAAGAAGATGTAATAAATGGAAAAATAAGTTGTATACGAACCCGTGAGTCTTCAGGAAAATTGGACCGTCTCTTCGTTGATAGAGATCAGGCTGTATAGAGCCTAAAGGCGATGCTGGAGGAGGTGGTCCGCCATCGCTGTCGTACAAACAAATTTATGTATCGTTAAACAACATAATAATAAAAGGCAATAAATGATTTTCGAGTATTCCAATATACTACGCACTATTAAGTAAATACGTTCGTTCAACGCAGCGATAAAATGGCGTCTCTATCAATTACCCACCCCTTCTCGAGCTCTATTTTCCGTGAGATAAACGACAAAGTTTCCCTGGGTCCCGAAGTACCCAGAAACCATCGCGATACCATCATACACTGTGGAGCATAACTATAGCACCACTATAATTTTCAAGAGTTTTGTAGTTGTAGTGATTTCTAAATGTTAATGATACCACGTGAAAGGGACTAGAAAAAAATTATAATCAATGGAAAAAAATAGAAAAATAACATTTATTTAACGTGAAGTATAATAATAAATGAAATATTGCAATGGTGCGTAACTATAGCACCAATGTATTTGGAACGTAATAATAAGGTTAAATGGCTATAAAGTGTTAAATTTCTAATTCAGTTTATTAAAGTGAACACTTTCGATAATGAGTGGGACCACCTTTTTTATGTATTAATTCAAAAATACGATTGTTCGTACTTGTAATGAGTTTTTTCTAAGTTTCTAATTTGATTCCACGCTTCGATAACTGCTGTTTTTAGCTCCGAAATGTTCGAAAATTGTCGATTATTTCCATAAATATGCCGTATCCATGATACCCCATAGGTTTTCAATTTTGGTCTGGGTTAGGTCTGGGTTAGGTCTGGATTAATTCTGGGTTAGGTCTGGATTAATTCTGGGTTAGGTCTGGGTTAGGTCTGGATTAATTCTGGGTTAGGTCTGGGTTAGGTCTGGATTAAGTCTGAGTTAGGTCTGGGTTAGGTCTGGATTAAGTCTGGGTTAGGTCTGGGTTAGGTCTGGATTAAGTCTGGGTTAGGTCTGGGTTAGGTCTGGATTAAGTCTGGATTAAGTCTGAGTTAGGTCTGGGTTAGGTCTGGATTAAGTCTGGGTTAGGTCTAGGTTAGGTCTGGGTTAGGTCTGGATTAAGTCTGGGTTAGGTCTGGATTAAGTCTGAGTTAGATATGGGTTAGGTCTGGGTTAGGTCTGGATTAAGTCTGAGTTAGGTCTGGGTTAGGTCTGGATTAAGTCTGAGTTAGGTCTGGGTTAGGTCTGGATTAAGTCTGGGTTAGGTCTGGGTTAGATCTGGGTTAGGTCTGGGTTAGGTCTGGGTTAGGTCTGGATTTATAGATAACATTATTCCCCCAGGGAATAGATTTATTTTGTTTTAAATAGATTTAACCCAGACCTAACCCAGACTTAATTCAGACCTAACCCAGACCTAACCCAGACTTAATCCAGACCTAACCCAGACTTAATTTAGACCTAACCCAGATCTAACTCAGATTAAATCCAGACCTAACCCAGACCTAACTCAGACTTAATCCAGACCTAACCCAGACCTAACCCAGACTTAATTTAGACCTAACCCAGACCTAACCCAGACCTAACCCAGACCTAACTCAGACTTAATCCAGACCTAACCCAGACCTAACCCAGACTTAATTTAGACCTAACCCAGACCTAACCCAGACCTAACCCAGACTTAATCCAGACCTAACCCAGACCTAACCCAGACTTAATTTAGACCTAACCCAGACCTAACCCAGACCTAACCCAGACTTAATCCAGACCTAACCCAGACCTAACCCAGACTTAATTTAGACCTAACCCAGACCTAACCCAGACTTAATTCAGACCTAACCCAGACCTAACCCAGGCCATTTCAATACATTGACATCAAACGTTTCAAACTGTGGTTTATCAGTGTTTATGGATCGGAGCATTATCTTGTTGATAAGTCCATGAAATGTGATTGTTTGCACGAATAAAAGGCAATAAATGATTTTCGAGTATTCCAATATACTCCGCGCTATTAATTCGTGTAGTTGGAAAAGCTAATCCGAGCTTGCCACAGGAGCAGAATGCACCCCACACGATAAGCGTCCCCCCACCGAAATTACGTTTCGAAAAGTATTTTTGTTCTTTACGAAGCTCCCTCCAATATGAATCAAATCCATCCGGACCGTCCAAATTGAATTTTTTTTCGTCAGAGAAAATAACCTAAGTTGAACAAGGAATATCGAATATGAAGCTAAAATCTCGATTTACGAATGTCTAAACTTAACTTACATCATTCCAATTTCTGCTCATGTTTTCTCGCGCGTCGTCAAGCCTGGCTATTTTCTGACGTTTCAGAAGTGTAGGTGCGGACATCATTTTTTGTCTCATAATGTTTGAATTATGTTTAAGGACACGTTGGAACAGTCCAAAGGGGGTAACTAGTGGCTACACAATGGACGCTAGGAAATAAATGGAAGCTTTGGATTTCGAATGAAATCTGACCACATGATAAATCAGGGCTGCCTCACCTGCCGGAAGTGCGCAATGGCGGGATGAGAAGGGGCGACAGACTTCGGCCAATTGATCTCGAGGCTCCGTGTGCGACGCTTATCGAGGATCCGCCGCAAGAGGAGCTTACACCTGTTGCAAGAGACGACAGAGAAGTCTGAGAGCGTGATGCATTGCTGCTGATAAGGCTTCCGGAACAACTGGCTGGGCTCCCACACCGTGCATCCAGCGACGCTGCACGGCCAGGTGACGGTGATCTGTGTAAAAATTATAATAAAAAGAAAAATTATTTTCAGTTGCAGGGGTCAGTTACAATCATTTTTGGTGAACAGACACACCCTCGAAATCCAACGCATTATCGAGAAAAAAAATTCTGTAAATGGACTTTGTCGACAAAATTAAAAAATTTTGAATCATTTTAAAAAAATTATTTTTATTTACAGGGGTCACTGATGATCATTTTTGGTGAATACACATATCCCTGAAATCCTACGCATTTTCGAGAAAAAAATTCTTTTACCGAAAATATACTGTGTGGCCAAAAATGTTTCGATTTTCGTTTTATTTTGGCCTCTAGAATCTTCCATTAAAATGTTTATTATTGTCGCATCTTATTGACCTATTTTATTTGTCGCAGAAAATTATTTGCGTCCTTTTAGGAGTGAATTTTGACTTACTGTGCGTGGCAGTGCATGTTGATCGTCTAATTTATACAAAAATAAACACCGACGAGTCCGTAGGCCGAGAATTGAGACTTCAGAACGCGAATTGCTCTGCTTTGGAACCGACGAAATTAACGTTGGCCCCTGTCGAATCGAAAACCACCGACATCGAACGACAGATGCTCGTCGTGTACACGAAATATCGATAATAAACATCGATAACAGACCATCTGCTCCTGCGAGACTGTTCTTTCCCGTCAGTCGCGATATCGCGTTAATATGGCGGCCATTATTCGATGTTCGATCGGAGAACGTGTCAGCTGTCAGTCCAGTTAATCGAAGCAATTTTTTTTTTATTTTTAATTCATTTTTTACGTCTACCTTCGAGTCATTAACGACGAGTTTGGATTCTCTTCTTTTGGTGTATATTTTGTGGCAGATGTTTGCTTCTTTTAGCTATTTCAGGCTATTTTCTATACGTTTCCGTGACATCGAGGCTGTTGGGCGATGTTATCTTGTATTTTTGTCTTTGGACGTTGTGTCTTCCATTTATTGCGAGGTCTCGATGTGGGATTTGTGTCGAGACGAATGATCAAGAAACATTGGCTTCGAATTTATATACAATTTTTACTAAAAAGATCGTTGGTTTAGCAAAATACGCCTGGATAATTAAAATAGATTCAATCAACGATGGAAAAGTCTCCCAAAATTCGAACAAAAATATTTAGTTAGCGTATTTGTTTATTACATTCGCTTTTCGTGATACTTTGATACGCAAAATGGCCAAAAGTGTCGATCTATATAAAAAGACACGTTCGATTTCGTTCGAAAAATAGCGTAATCATACTTTGGAGATGCATTGTTGCACTGATTAAAGAATGGAGGTCACAGGAAAATTGGCTTGTTGCAGTTCAACTTTTCCCTTTGTATTATTTTTTATCTTTGACGTTGCAAGAGGTACACGCGTTCTAATTATACGATAGATGCTCTATCACTATAAAATGCATTGTTAAATTTCAAAATTTTGAAACAAGTTGACGATACTAAAGATCAAAAATAATTTCATCATTATTAAAAATCATTAAATAAAAATCATATAATCATATAATCATATAATCAATAAAATCATTGTTAAAAATTTCATTATTTTTTACGATATTTATAATTGAAAACGATTCCTAAACTTTGATTATTTATTTACAAGTCGTATATTACTCCAATGTGAGTTGACTAAAAAAATTTATTCAATGCAAGAAAGTGTCAAATATTACGCTTTTTTAATTTCCTCGTACATTAGTAACTTATTCCTGACCAATTAGTAGAAGTTTTTCTAATCGAGAAATGGCAGATTAGAACCCAATGTAGGAAATAAAATTAAAATGTAAATAAAGAACGTTAAATTTATTTAAACATAGAAGAAAACAAAGATAGTAACTACGCACTACGTCTCAACTCTTCGACGACTCGCTCGACTCTGCCCTTTGCTTAGGGCCAGCCACGTGCGTCTTCCAAACGAACGACGCCACACGCAACACAGTCGCCATCTATATCGACCCCCTTTCATAAACAATCAGTCGATTCCAAGCATTCTTTACTCACTCATACCACTCATGATTCACACACAAACACACACACACACCACACTAATAAATGGTGACCTAATTCAGACCTAACCCAGACCTAACCCAGACTTAATTCAGATCTAACCCAGACCTAACCCAGACTTAATTCAGACCTAACCCAGACCTAACCCAGACTTATTCCAGACCTAACCCAGACCTAACCCAGACTTATTCCAGACCTAACCCAGACCTAACCCAGACCTAACCCAGACTTAATTCAGACTTATTCCAGACCTAACCCAGACTTAATTCAGACCTAACCCAGACCTAACCCAGACCTAACCCAGACTTAATCCAGACCTAACCCAGACCTAACCCAGACTTAATTTAGACCTAACCCAGACCTAACCCAGACTTAATTCAGACCTAACCCAGTCCTAACCCAGACTTAATCCAGACCTAACCCAGACCTAGGTTTGGGTTAGGTCTGGATTAGGTCTGAGTTAGATCTGGGTTAGGTCTGGATTAAGTCTGGGTTAGGTCTGGGTTAGGTCTGGGTTAGGTCTGGGTTAGGTCTGGATTAAGTCTGGGTTAGGTCTGGATTAGGTCTGGATTAAGTCTGGGTTAGGTCTGGGTTAGGTCTGGATTAAGTATGGGTTAGGTCTGGGTTAGGTCTGGATTAAGTCTGGGTTAGGTCTGGGTTAGGTCTGCGTTAGATCTGGATTAAGTCTGGGTTAGGTCTGGGTTAGGTCCGGATTAAGTCTGGGTTAGGTCTGGGTTAGGTCTGCGTTAGATCTGGGTTAGGTCTGGGTTAGGTCTCGGTTATTTTATTCTTTTATATATATATATATATGTAAAAGAATAAAATAGATGCTTTCTCGGTAGAAATTTTTTGGATAACCCTAACCTAGACCTAATCCAGACCTAACCTAACCCAGACCTAACCCAGATCTAACCCAGACCTAACCCAGACCTAACCCAGACTTAATCCAGACCTAACCCAGACCTAACCCAGACCTAACCCAGACTTAATCCAGACCTAACCCAGACCTAACCCAGACTTAATCCAGACCTAACCCAGACCTAACCCAGACCTAACCCAGACTTAATCCAGACCTAACCCAGACCTAACCCAGACTTAATCCAGACTTAACCCAGACCTAACCCAGACCTAACCCAGACTTAATCCAGACCTAACCCAGACCTAACCCAGACTTAATCCAGACCTAACCCAGACCTAACCCTGACCTAACCCAGACTTAATCCAGACCTAACCCAGACCTAACTCAGACCTAACTCAGACCAAAAAATTTATAATAAATTATAATTCTTTACTCACTCATACCACTCATGATTCACACGCACACACACACACACCACACCACACTAATAAATGGTGAGACAGTCGTCAATGAAACGTCTTGAGGCAACCGTTTAGACGCAAAAAGATGATTTTTAATAGTCATTGTGAAAGTAAGCAGATACAGTGTGTCAAAGAAGAAGCTTCCCAGGTCAAGTAGGGTAGCTTTCATGGGAATGTTTTGTTCTCACATGCTTGTTAGATATTTTGTATGAACAACTCTCCTCAGTCCCGGTTCTGGGGTAAGTGCCAAGAGGTGAAGCTTAGTCCTCCTACCAGAAGGCACCCTTGCCTTCCCCACTCCGTGGCCAGATCCTCAAGGAACAGAGTTCCTATTCTTTAAATCAAGACAACGTCGGGTCGCTTGCCTTTTTCTAACATACCTACGTTTCCTTTCAACAAGTAATCCTATGACGCCCGATAGCTGCGTTACTTCGAGTCACCAGCCATCGACGGCCATCTGAATTGTGTCCTTGCAACCATCCCTCTTGGGCTAAGTCTCTATCATAAATCGTTTGAGAACGAAATATCGTCGAGCTAAATGCCCTCGACGTCCCTTAAAAATAAACCGTCGCTAACATGCTGTAGGACACTTTGTAAGTCAAACCTTGAGCTCCTGCTGGGTGGATAGGATGACGCAGCGTGGAGAGCGTCACGGTGATGATGGTGATGATGATGGCGGCCATCAGGTCCAAAGGATCGAACCTGCGACGTGGATCCACGGTGGCTGGAAGGACCCTCTAAAGAGCTCTGAGAGCTCACGGATGAATTTCTGGTCAACAAACGACTGCCACCACCCGGATAACTGCGACTCTGGTGTGGCAGGCTCGCTGCTTCAAAAAGTAATTAAAAAATCGCGTGTCAGTGGTAAAAACGGGATCACTTGTTGCGATGTGGCTCATTGATCCCCGATTTTCGAAACAAACTGGGAGAATCTGCGTAAAATCTTCGAAATCCTCGAGGATCAAACATTCGTAGAATATTTTAACAGAGAAAATTCTTACTTGATTCAACCACCACGGAGGAGCATGGCTGCACAGCGTGCTTTTCCTTGGCGACGTTGAATTCCTGAAACAAGATGTTAAAAAAATCATAAGGATGTAAATTAATTGGATACTTTCTTCTTGATAGAACCAGGCAACAAACAGTCACTTTCGACCAGTCGGATTGAAGATTACACATTCAACGATATCCAAAAAACGGATTTCGATTTCAAAGTTAACACTTTACCGACCGGTAGCGGTTGATTAATCGGCTATCGGTCGGTAAGCGTTGGTCGGTAAAACAGTCGATTGATAGGCCATCGGTCGGTAAAACAGTCGATCAACAGGCTATCGGTCGGTAAAGTGTTAAGATCGTGAATTTTATACATTCACAACAAAATAAAATATTGATATTACATCAATCTATTCGAAAAAATAAATTTTCGAACATTCGGTCGAGTAAATTTTTTACAAATTTTATTGAAAATTATGGGTCATTTTGACTGCTCTGGTAGTTCCAGTGTTAACGAAATTGAAACTAATTTCTTGTTCGTACGTTCTGTCTGAATAAAAATTGAAAAATGTAGTTTCTTGGTTGTTGGATGGATGAAACGAAGTTCCAAGGATAGCAATCACGCGTTACGACTCTCCTACGGCGCGAAACTGTCGAAAGGGAGTTTTGGGCAGAACGACGACGGGCTGGTCGTCATCAGGTAGGGGCGAGGTCGCTGGAAGCTGTCTTTCACGGGTCGATACTCTGAGCAGCGCGAGCAGAACCCATGGTTCCCGCCCATCGAGCCGAAATATCAAATCTTCGAAGCGAATTCCACTTTTTTTCACCCCCCAACGGTGTCGATTCACCCTCCACCTCCCCTCACCCTGCGAGCCATCGAGCAGCTGTGTCGACAGTTTCGCGTTTCGTGGAAATTTCACAAACGTGATGACAAAATTCGAAATTGAAAAAAGATCCAAAGGTGATCGAATTTTTAATGGCTTCAATTTTTATGGGCTCGAATTGCCAGAAATCTGAAATTCCAGCTGGTACAATGCCTCCTGTCGATTGTGTATACTGCATCATTGGGTCATTTGTGACCCTTCGATGCATTGCAAGTAAAGCGACGACAACATTCGAAATTGTAAGGAGATCCAAAGACGTTCGAAGATTCCTAATATTGATGGGCTAATTTCCTAATTTTGGACCCTTCGATGCTTTGCAAGTAACGTTGGAAGTGAAGGATTGAAGATTACACGTTCCACGATATCCAAAAAACGGATTTCGATTTCAAAGTTAACACTTTACCGACCGGTAGCGGTTGATTAATCGGCTATCGGGTCGGTAAGCGTTGGCCGGTAAAACAGTTGATTGATACGCTATCGGTCGGTAAGCGTTGATCGGTAAAACAGTCGATTAACAGGCCGTCGGTCGGTAAAACAGTCGATTAACAGGCTATCGGTCGGTAAAGTGTTAACATTACGCGTACGTGCCGTTTTTGCTAAACAAAGGGACACCTCTGTGTATATGTGTGTGTATGTGTGTGTGTATATGTGTGTGTGTGTGTATGTGTGTATGTGCGTGTGTGTATGTGTGTATGTGCATGTGTGTGCGTGTGTGTGTGTGTGTGTATGTGCGGGTATGTGTGTATGTGTGTGTGTGTATGTGTGTGTGTGTGTATGTGTATGTGTGTGTGTGTGTGTATGTGTATGTGTGTGTGTGTAACATATTTTCATAATACCAACAATATATTCTTTCGAGCAACGCGCAAAAATCATCGCGATTTCATCATCGATCGAACACTTTTTCTTCTTTTTTCATATCGAATTTGAATTCATCGAAAAGTGGGTGGTCGACACGAGTCTACGCGGGTCATTTTTTACCCTTCGATGCATTGCAAGTAATGTGACGACAACATTCGAAATTGGAATACGTATGCCATCGCGGAAATGGGACAAACCAAACCACATTGGTTTTCGTTTCCAAACCGACGTCCAGAACTGGTTGTTTATTAATTACTTTTGATCCCGAGGCTCGTAAATTCGCTACGTTCGTTGCTCACCGCGTATTCGATACGAACTCTCGATCACGTTGTCGACGAACAGACAACGATCGCTGCGGTTGGATTCGAAACTGTTTTTAATCGGACGTCAACGAACCAGAATCACTGTTATACGAACTGCGTGGGCGACAAAATCATCTGATTGAAATTTTAGAGGTCGAAATAAAACGAAAATCAAGAACATCTATTTCTCGGCTGAGGCTTCGTTAAAAAGTTATTAAAAAATTAAATTAAAAAATTTCAAATCGTTCTAAAAAAATTATTTTTAGTTGTAGGGGTCAATTGCAATCATTTTTGGTGAAGAAACATACCCCCGAAATCCTACCCAGTTTTGAGAAAAAAATTCCTTACCGAAGACGATGTCTGACCATATATTGATATGTTTCCCTGAAATTTCATGTGTTTCAAATCGTTCTGGAAAAATTATTTTTGGCTGCAGGGGTCAATTACGATCATTTTTTGTGAATAGACATATTCCTGAAATCTTACGCGTTTTCGAGAAAAAAATTCATTACCGAAAATACGATGTCTGACCATACGTTGATATGTTTCCCTGAAATTTCGGGCGTATCTTTAAAACGCCATAACTTCTGAACGGATTGGAGGATTTCGGTGTTTCAAAATGCAAACAACGCGTATTTTAGTCAAGAATATTTGGAAATTTTAAGAATATTGGAAAAGTTGTTCCCTAACACCGTAAAGTTAGAAAAACCCCCCAAAAGATAGTCGAAACTTCAAACGACCATAACTCCTACTATAGTGAATATATTTCAATGAAATTTAGACTAGGAGTAGAGCTCATCGATACCTACAAAAAAGTATTAGACAACTTCTCTATAGGGAGTCAAACAAAATTAAAGACGAATTTTTAAGAAAAAGCGACAGGGGTAGATGCTTAAATTGTCCGACAAAATTAAAAAATTTCAAATCATTCTGGAAAAATTATTTTCGTTTGCGGGGGTTAATTACAATCGTTTTTGGTGAACAGACACGCCCACGAAATCCAACGCATTTTCGAGAAAAAAAATTCAGTAAATGGACAAATTTTCTCGACGAAATAATAAATTTCGAATGGTTTTAAAAAAATTATTTTTGGATTCGAGGGTCAATTACAATCATTTTTTGTGAATAGACATATTCCTGAAATCTTACGCGTTTTCGAGAAAAAAATTCATTACCGAAAATACGATGTCTGACCATACGTTGATATGTTTCCCTGAAATTTCGGGCGTATCTTTAAAACGCCATAACTTCTGAACGGATTGGAGGATTTCAGTGTTTCAAAATGCAAATAACGCGTATTTTAGTCAAGAATATTTGGAAATTTTAAGAATATTGGAAAAGTTGTTCCCTAACACCGTAAAGTTAGAAAAACCCCCCAAAAGATAGTTGAAACTTCAAACGACCATAACTCCTACTATAGTGAATATATTTCAATGAAATTTAGACTAGGAGTAGAGCTCATCGATACCTACAAAAAAGTATTAGACAACTTCTCTATAGGGAGTCAAACAAAATTAAAGACGAATTTTTAAGAAAAAGCGACAGGGTTAGATGCTTAAATTGTCCGACAAAATTAAAAAATTTCAAATCATTCTGGAAAAATTATTTTCGGTTGCGGGGGTTAATTACAATCGTTTTTGGTGAACAGACACGCCCACGAAATCCAACGCATTTTCGAGAAAAAAAATTCAGTAAATGGACAAATTTTCTCGACGAAATAATAAATTTCGAATCGTTTTAAAAAAATTATTTTTGGATGCGAGGGTCAATTACAATCATTTTTGGTGAATACACATATTCCTGAAATCTTACGCGTTTTCGAGAAAAAAATTCATTACCGAAAATACGATGTCTGACCATACGTTGATATGTTTCCCTGAAATTTCGGGCGTATCTTTAAAACGCCATAACTTCTGAACGGATTGAAGGATTTCAATGTTTCAAAATGCAAACAACGCGTATTTTAGTCAAGAATATTTGGAAATTTTAAGAATATTGGAAATGTTGTTCCCTAACACCGTAAAGTTAGAAAAACCCCCCAAAAGATAGTCGAAACTTCAAACGACCATAACTCCTACTATAGTGAATATATTTCAATGAAATTTAGACTAGGAGTAGAGCTCATCGATACCTACAAAAAAGTATTAGACAACTTCTCTATAGGGAGTCAAACAAAATTAAAGACGAATTTTTAAGAAAAAGCGACAGGGTTAGATGCTTAAATTGTCCGACAAAATTAAAAAATTTCAAATCATTCTGGAAAAATTATTTTCGGTTGCGGGGGTTAATTACAATCGTTTTTGGTGAACAGACACGCCCACGAAATCCAACGCATTTTCGAGAAAAAAAATTCAGTAAATGGACAAATTTTCTCGACGAAATAATAAATTTCGAATCGTTTTAAAAAAATTATTTTTGGATGCGAGGGTCAATTACAATCATTTTTGGTGAATACACATATTCCTGAAATCTTACGCGTTTTCGAGAAAAAAATTCATTACCGAAAATACGATGTCTGACCATACGTTGATATGTTTCCCTGAAATTTCGGGCGTATCTTTAAAACGCCATAACTTCTGAACGGATTGGAGGATTTCAGTGTTTCAAAATGCAAATAACGCGTATTTTAGTCAAGAATATTTGGAAATTTTAAGAATATTGGAAAAGTTGTTCCCTAACACCGTAAAGTTAGAAAAACCCCCCAAAAGATAGTTGAAACTTCAAACGACCATAACTCCTACTATAGTGAATATATTTCAATGAAATTTAGTATAGGAGTAGAGCTCATCGATACCTACAAAAAAGTATTAGACAACTTCTCTATAGGGAGTCAAACAAAATTAAAGACGAATTTTTAAGAAAAAGCGACAGGGGTAGATGCTTAAATTGTCCGACAAAATTAAAAAATTTCAAATCATTCTGGAAAAATTATTTTCGTTTGCGGGGGTTAATTACAATCGTTTTTGGTGAACAGACACGCCCACGAAATCCAACGCATTTTCGAGAAAAAAAATTCAGTAAATGGACA